ACGTTTGCTCCGAACTGCAATAACGAGATATAAGAATAATCACCTGAAAATGATGAATATACTCGCACTGTTCTCAATTTTGTAAACCTCTGTAACAATAATTCAATAACGATTCATAATAAATGATATGTTTAAAAAATCTCTGCAAAATAAGATACTTTTGAAATGTATTTTTTTTTAACAAAAATAACGAGATACATAATTTTGTATAACCTATTTTGACATCTAATTCGAAAATATTGTGCTCCTTTTGGAAATATAAATCAATGAAAAATCTTTTTTAAATTTATATGTGAACTTTACGTTAATAGAATTTAGATTTGACATATATTTTATAATTTAATGAATATATAATGTCAATATTATAATGTCAAAAGTTATAGTCTTTATTTTTGCAAAGAAAAATTGTGTCAATCTTAATGATTTATGATGAGAATTCTTAATATAAATATCATTCTGCTTATAAAACTTGTATAAAATAGCGCAAAAACAACAAATCATTTTTTCAATATCTATTTTATATCACTTTTTTGATCAAATTCAATTAAGTTTTAGAAATAGATTCCACTATTCTTTGATTTCGATCTTGGGTTCGCTGTTCGCGTCATCATTTTTCTCTTCGCCATTTAATTCTGATGAACGCAAAAGACATATTATGCACGGAATCGTGCACAAGGTGGGCTTCTACAAAGATTTTATGCGATAGCTAAGGTGCACGGGAAAGTTATTTGTGTAATTTACGGCTAGAGTGCCCCTCGACGGATGACTGTAGCGAGATCGCAAGCACTGGCGTTCTTCTATTTCAGAGTGCACATCTTGAAATTGTGTTATGAGAATACGAAAAGTGCCTGGCGAACGTCTTTGGAAAGATATACGGTATCGTTACGTATAAAGCCGCGAATAAACTATCAGTAAACACAATACACTTATCACCAACAATTATAATCAGATGAAATAAATCGGTCAAGTCAAATATAATTTTTAATTTTTTAATTAATACAATTTATTCATATATTTATTTATAAACGAGAAAAAGAGATATAGAATATGATATAACGATGAATTAGAGTGAGAAAAAATAATAATGATATGTATATGCATATATATATATTACTTAAGATGCATTACTGACTTATCACTTTCGAGGGTTAATTCGCAATTGTCTACGCATTGAAGAATGATATATATCTTTTCGTGCACGAAACGTCGCGTAATTCGCAATCTCGTAAATGTGATGAGCGTTCTATCGACTTAATTGCCGCGCTCTCCTTAAACTCACGAGCAGCAGCAGCCTGGCTTGTCGGATTCCGCTTCTTCAGGAGTAGAAGCGGCATGAGGCATACCGCCGTACTGTTCCTTCATCTTTTTGTCACGAGCACCCGAGGTTTTTAGACGTATCGTAACGACGACATTAGTATCGCGTGCAACAGCTCGTGCAGCTTTTAACATAGCCGAATGTTCGCGAAAAGCAGCGAGCCGACAAGATTGCGGGCGTGCACTTTGAAATATCAGAATGTAAATTAATGCGCCAAACATTACATTGCTCTTTGGTATTATATTACTTTAAATGGCATTATTAAAACGCGAAATATCATTTGATCTCTTATATATACGTACCAGGATTGTAATGGGTATAAAATTGAATACATTTTGCGTAAACCTATTAGTCACCATCTGTCTATTAACTGAAACTGTTATATGTTATATATGCGCGATATATCGGTAATAAAATGTATTTATATTAACCTTTCGCAACTCGAGCGAACAGTTCAAACATAGCCACGAGTAAAGGACGTTCGAAATTGCGAGCAAAAGCGGTGCGCTCTAGATTAATAATGCTTTCCTCGATCCCAATCGCCCGCGATTTATCGGACGTATGTACCTGCGGGACGCACGACATTTCCGACGCGTCGCTAATACATTGCGGAACATCATCGATAGCTCTGATATCACAAACATTAAGTATTCAAAGAGATACAATTTTATTTTCGGTACCGCTAACAATTGATCTATGGATTTCCCGTCTCTCTGTTGTCGCTACTCGCATCTCGCGCTGAATATTTCATTCGGGATATTGTACGCCGGAAGTTAAAAGTCATGGTTTTATTTCTTGCAAAGTTGCCATTATCTGAAAATGTTTTATAATGTGATTTTTACAGATATTAATGTGCTTTGTTAAATCTGTGCTTTTTTAAAAATATATATATATTTCTTTTTTACAAATGGTAGCAACTAGTATTACAGAAATTTTGAAACTTTACATTTATTACATGAATTAAAAGTTGAAGGTATAAAATTATGTATATACATTTAATGAAATTAATTATATAAGTGTTAATATAAGTAAAAACAAAATTAATCTAATTAAAAAAATATGATGTACAAAAATATTATTTATTTGAATTTAATTAGTATTGCAGTTTTTTATCGAATTAATTCTATTCACAGATAAAATTTATTACATTTTTGGGATTATTCAATATTCTGTGATCGAAACGGATATTTCTAAGACTTTCGAGCTTTGCAAACGAGTCGAGCGGAAAATGTTTGTGCGAAAATCTCTTAATACAAACGCGAATCATGAAGTGCACACCACGCAGGTATGCACTTCGACCCTCGAGTTCAGGATCCTATTGACTTATGGCGCTTCCGGTTTGTCGATCCGTCAAGAGGTCGGCAGGTAGAGTGAGAGAAGAAGAGCGCATGTGGTCTCTCTGTTTAATAAACAAACCCCCGTTTGATTTGCATTGCGCGCAAGTCACGCTTCGGGCGCGGTGCGAATTTCAACGCGGATTGCAAGCTTGCTCTCCCACTACTCGGTGGCTACCGGAGTAACGTGAGATACCTGAACAATGACGCTGCCCTAGGACGCGTAATGCCCCAGAATAGAAAGGGCTTTAAGGGACATTCCTGCTGTGCCTGCATCGTGTCATTGCGTTGCCGCGTCGCATCGCGATTCCAACGTCGAGGACCTGCACTGTCAAACGACAGGGTGTCTCCGATGTCAAAGCATACCCGGACGTCGTTGTACAACGTGATCAATCCCGGGCAAGGCAGTCTCCGTCCTTTCCGTAACCGTCCTGTTTTCCTTCGAAAGCCGCGCGATTCGAGCGACGAATGCAATATTGTGGTCCCGCCGAGACACTCGAGATAAAATACTCCGCTTTCGCGCAATTTGCCTCTTCGTTTTCCCGGTGACTTTCAAAGGTGATGCCATCATGCCACTCCTAGAGAACTCTTATATTCTTTCTTTTTTCCACCGTGTATTGCGTGAACGTTGGTTTACTGATGTGCATTTAAAATTACCTATGTATTTTAAATATTCAGCAACACGTCTCTATAAATGGCACAAAAATGAGCTGTGATACATTTTTTCTCATACAATAATAATTTGTCAATAAATGAAAATTGACGTTGAGTGGTCTACTTACATGTGAGGGATAAACGGTGTATTTACCCCGTATACCGTTTTACATGATATATTTATTTCATTTTACGTATGGAGTACAATTTTCTACAGTGTTTTCCTCTCTTAAAAACGTCATGTAAAATTACTTTGTTTAATTCGACGAGGCATCGATGTCACTGTCGATCGATTTTATTACATTCGGAGACCCGCAGTATCGCGTTCTCTTGTACCACTTTTCGCGTTCGACATTCATTCGAGTCACTATGCCATTCGCGCATTCCACGCTCGCAAGTGCCTCTTCACATTAGTCGATAGGACAAATGCGAAAACGAGATGCCGCGCCGTTTTGCGCGGCTCGACGATATCCCGAGCGTGATGCGACGGCGCGACTCGCCAGTCGCGCTGACCGGATGATCAGCAAGTGGAAACGGACGAGCACGCGTCCGGCCTGAATGAAATCGGAGGCGGACTTGTGAGAGCGGGCAAATGTTTATTTGAAATAGGATAGCCGCGAACGATTGCGCGCTCCTGATTTCGAAACCCGAGCGAAGTGATCCGTGCATTGAACCTCGAACGAGCAGCTAGCAGCGAAAAATTTGCATCCACTGTTTGCGGTTCGGGTGTATCGTTCGGTGACAACAATTGGCTTTGTGCGATACGAGAAAATAAGTGGCGAAACGAGATGTATGGAATCCATGCAATAATAAAAACAATGCCCTTTTGGGAGCGCGAGGACTGATACGTGTTTGTGTCCAAGTTCTTGGCCTTTTTTTCTCAATATCGCGAGTATTTATTAATTAAAAGCAAAAAAAAATTACTCATTTTTTTTCTTAACTGTGTACGCAATCATAGATATTTTAGAAATGTTTTCAAGTGTCATTATTAAATTTGGAGATATTGAATCAATTATTTTTTGTTGTAATCTTATAAAAATAATGGAAATGATATTATGATATTCCTGGAATTAAAGACGACACACGCTGAGGAGATAAACGAGAAATGTCTGTACACTAAAGCGCTATCCGACCTACAACCTCTTATCTTGCAACCTTATCCTCGCCTCTTACTGTCAACTGCTCCACCTTTGAAATCTTATCCGCCGCTATGTACGACCTTCTCAGAATTTATATTAAACAACCAACCTCCCTATTATTGGTTTATTTGTGCGTTGTGAGGCAAAGTAGCATCCGGCGAATCTCGTAAGCGCTCCAGAAGAGCATGCGATGCACGACGATCTCTCTTCACAACTCTTCACGAACGTAACTCGCTTATATGCAATATGAACCTCGAATTTTCAACGAGATGACATCTTTTCGTTTTAGAAAAAAAATTTAATTTAGCATTTTGATAACTGAGAGATGAGTTGAAAATATTTAACGTTAAATATCTTTAGATTTAAGATACCATTAAGATAACATTTAAAGTATAAAATGCATATAAAATTCTCTGATATTTATTTCAGGACAATGTCTGAGGGATAAATTCATAAACGTTGCATCTTTAAACTGTATATATAAAAATGTTTACAGTCCTCATAATTTAATAGTAATATTATTTATAATAACAACCGATATCTTTTTTCTGTGCGTAGGCTGCTCTGAGACCGAATTCATATGCAGAAACAGACAGTGCGTCGACCGTAAGAGATACTGCGATGGCATACCCGATTGTTATGATGGATCAGATGAACACAATTGCCGTAAGTATTGTTTCCACATTCGAAAAATAATCGTTCACATTCATCCTAGTTAGTTGCATACTCAGATTGTCGCTTTGAGATTCTAGTAGTAGTATGTAGCGCATTGGTACGCTATATAGATGTAGTTTTTTAACAGTTCTTTACAGGTTCTCTATTTACAATGAATGAAATTTGGTAAACGAATTAATAAGGTTGCACTTTTGTACGAGTTACAACATTCAAATCATTAAATCATTAAATCCTTTTACGAAAATGACTGTAGTGCAAAATTTCTATAAACTCTCAAAAATATACTATTTTTATATTTTAAATAACATGCGAAATATTGTTTTGTGAGACAAAATTTCAAAATATGATAAATATCCTTTTAAATAATTACGAATTCGAAAATGTATGAAAGGAGAGACTTAATTACAGGCAGACGTAAGTTTTATACAAAGATCATTCTCTCGGCACACGCGTTATTATGAATCTGCATGAGACATACGTGCCGATAAAAGTATCTATACATGGAATCGTCATACTAATACTGACATACGTCCTCGCACGTACCGGTGTTATTTATCGCCGACTAACATTGCACGTCAGCTTCGCATGCGACTGTGCCGGAACTAATCGCGAATGGGCCTCGACGTATTACGATGAACTCAATAATTATAATAGCTATGACAATAACAATAGCGTGCTCGGGGAAAAAAGGTATGAGGCTCGTGGTGGGTAGTTGGTGCTGCTTGTTGCTAGTGGTGATAGTAATGATGTAGTAGTGGTGGTGATGGTGATGGGGTGGCGATGGCGTTCTTCGGCCCCGCATTTAAGGCCGTTGCACCCGTATGGCATCGACATTCGTTTTCTCCCTTCTTTTAACTATCATCTTTGTCAACTCTTTTTCCCGACCAACTTATTATTTCCGTCGTCTTTTACAAATGCACGCTTCGTCCGCCGTCTTCGACCACGTGCATCGTTAACTATATCTTACAATCGTTACGGCCTAATTTTTTAAGAGTAGGATGCAATAGAATTTACGATCGAGGATGAATAGACTGCCTATTGCCACTAAATAGAAATTAGAAATTCTATATCAAAAATTAAATTATCTAATTAGTATATTATTGTGTGTTTTGAACTCTAGATTAAAAATGATCCTCAAGATTTATATATAAAAAAGTATCTTTATATCCACGCGTATATCGTAACGCAAGATTACAGGTATTCAAACTTGTATTATTCTGTAATTTGTGTACAATAATGTTACAAATATTATGCTGTAATTACAATTTCATACGGCAATAGTCCATTAGCGGGAATAACCGTAATGCAGAACAATATATGTTTGGTGACGCGCATTGTGTTTACGCAATTATTACAACGTTTACATGTTCATTGTACGGAGGCTAATGGCAGTAATTAATCCTAACAGCACGAGCGCATCAATCGACTGCCGATCGAGTTCTTATTCATTGGCATAGCCCATCGTACACCTCATTAGTGGCGTTAATGCCGTTGAGAACCGTCAGAGAGAGGAAGATAAAAAAAAAAAGAAAAGAACAGAGGAAAATGAGGAACACGTTGCGTTCCCCGCCGGAAATCCGGAATGGCCTCTTGTCGAACGAGATTTGCTCGCGTTTATTAATCCGCCCTAATAACCGCGGCCGCAATTTTAATCCGACGTTAATCTCCGCGGACCGGTTGACGTTGAACGTCGGGTCCGGCCCTTCCGTCATGCTCTGCTCCAGAATTTCGCATTTTCACCGTTTTAATCCAATTTTGATTCGTGACAAGAGCGCGTCACGTCCGCCGAACTTTGCCCGAAAAACGGCACGCCGTGAAATCGTGCCAGACCACTCACGAGAGAGTCATCACATTCCCCGCTAAATCCTCCGTACTCGCGAGATTATGTTTATTTCTCATTGTCGAGACAACGTTATATGGCGTGTCATTAAGCGGATAATACTTTACGGCTTATTTAACGAATCTAAAAGTTTTAATGATTATAATAATAAATTTATTACAAGATATACCTTTTTGTATATATTATCGTTACGACGACGGAAATTACGCATTTATATTACATCATACTTATTTCGATGAGATTAATTTGAAATTTTTTTTCTTAGTTAAAGCGTTAATTTCTCAAATGCATATTCTCGCATCGCTTTCAGATTACCCGGATATTTACGAGAGAGAATATTGCTGCGAGCAACCGAGTGAACGGATTATTGAACTCGCGGTTCATTTGCAATTCAATCGTCAAATGGGCGAGGCTTCAGGGCAAACCTTGAACCTATGATGATGTCAGAAATCGCAGAATCTCTCACTCTGTACACCACATTATCAAGCGACTCACGACTTTATATCTCATTCGAGTCATCAAAATGATCTAATCTTTGCTATTTTATCCTTCAAGACAATTAGAATAATAATAGATTTTCTCGCGCAACATTTTGATTACAGTAAAATTATTCATCTCATAATCGACCGTTTTGTTTGATTCTTTTACTGCGAAAAATGTATAACGAATAAATTTTTTTATAATTAATAACCGTTGATTCGCGCGCGATGACAATTAAATGGATACGATTGAAACTTGCGTAATTTTATTACCGCCATATGATTCAATGGCCCGATGAGAATTATTTATTTTGCAGCGCGGTTTAAACGCTGATAAAGTACCATTTCATTTTTCCATAATTTTTTAATTTTGGTTTTCATTGCTGTCTACTTTTGAAATAACCGATTAATTTTTCTATATTGCGGGAATGCTTTAGATCGTGATAAATATTTCGGTGAATATTTAGGTGAGGACCAAATGCGAGCAATCATGTAAAATATTATAAAAAATGATATCATCAGATACCTATTCATACCGCTTCTCTCATGTCTTATTTTTTCCAATTTTTTAAAATAATAATTTTAATTAGATCAGACAATAGCATTTTTCAGATATATAAGTGTTGAAATTTTAATTGCTTTTACTTATAAAATGCACATTCTACTTTAAACCTTTTGATTTCCTAATGACTTTTACGTGTCTACTCATGTCTACGTTTTTATTTCGTTTCTATACAATACGTGTATTCGTACAATAACATTCATCGATTAAATGCAAAGGCAACTGTTGGACGTCACGCAGTGTTCTTTTGCGACAATTAGGTCCTTTCAGGTTCTTTTATCGTATACTAATTGCTGTCCTAAATTAGAGTACGGTGGAAGGTTGACCGTAACTCTTCGTTCATTTATAATCTCTTCTATGAAATTTCCTCAAGTGCGTGCTAATTAATGCTCTAGCACTTAACGCGTCTCACTCGGCCACTAATTAATTCTTTTCCAGAAGCTTCTCTTATTATACTACCTTACGTCATCGTGCTATGGTTCTACATTGAAATTATATCCCCACTAGAATTCTTCGACTTCCTATGTGATTCTGAACAAGCACATATGCATATTTCATTTTCGGAGAAAATAAGTAGAAAAATATATTATAACAAATTATAAATACAACTGAAGTCGAACAGATCTTGTTAAGTAAAATTGTTTATTTTTACATCGCTTTATATTCGCTTTTTATATTTGCTTGAAGAAGAATCTAATTCTATAAATCTCTATTCATTCTCGAACATCAGCCAGGAATGCAGCTTAATTCTCTTGTCGAAGAATCGTTAATCATTGTTGGCAATCATTGTGCTTTCTCCGTCGTTTGTGTCTCTGTGCTACGTCCATTCGTCAGTTTATGTCTAATCCTCGTCAGCACAGTAAACGTCATTCTGAACTGTGTTTGTACGTGTCATCTCTCGAATTGACCCGCGTCAGTCGGGTCATCGTGCCGTTCTCGGCGACGTAAATCTTCCCAAATTAGCCTGAGTGAACAATTTTTACAGCCTGCAAGGAAGACCAATTCGAATGCGCGCCTGGTTATTGCGTGTCCTTATCACGACGCTGTGACGGATACACGGACTGTATTGGTGGAAGGGATGAGCAAAATTGTCACAACATGAGTACGAATTATCACTATTTACTTCAACGAGCTGCGAAACGCCACACTCGCGAGAAGCATGTAAATCAATTACTTGGGTTGGAATTAATCTAGTCGCGCATACGTGCACTAAATGGCCTTTTAATAAGGACAAGAACTTGTTGATCCACTTAAAAAAAAAAAAAATCTCGTGACACTCTTCTTCCGTTACATTTGAATATCAAGCTGCATGCATGCATACATATGTTGTAGGCCGTAGGCAAACAGGACGAACGATGATATTCCGATGTATCGTATTATAAGGCAAACATGGTCACTGTGAGATTCAAATGTCACTAGTTACGGGAAACACGAAATATAATTGAGAAGTTTAAACGTTTATTTCATTTTTTTTATTGTGAAACTTTACGATCGACAAAAAAAACTGAATTTGATTAAATTTTGAGGGCATCAGTCTCGTGTTTCCGCGTTTATATGATTCCGCGTTGCAATATATACACACATATACATACGTTTCGCAACACATATACACATACACACATCTTGGCAGCGACAGATAGGTGGGTATAAATTTTATTGCATTTTTGGATAATTCATTGAAAGACTACGGCATGCGCAAAGTTTTCATTCTACATGAACGATGACTTCACAGCATGAGATCTGAGCCTCTCACATTTTTAACTCATTAGGAAGTGGCGCATGATAATTTACGCTGGTTACATGACAAAGTTATAGAGAAACTCTGCTGGAGCAGGTATTCGTACTTGCAATAACGCGACGGCGATTCTTGTGCTTAATTATTCATGGATATGTGGTAGCGCGTATTAGCCGCGAGTTTACTTTCTGCGAGACACAGTCTCGCCGGCGTGAACAGTTAACAGCATTAACAGTCGAGTAATTGTTATCCAACTGTTGCGAATAAATTAGTTCCAGCTTAGATATCCGCTGGAAAAAAATTTTCGCGCTTTCTGTTATAATCAGATATTTTTAAAACTATGAATCGCGAGTGTAAAATATAAACGTAATTTTAAAGTAGACTCACGATCGGGAAATATATTAATGAAAATTATATATAAAAAACACGTGTTATAAATAGTTCTCGAATTCCACACATTGCATAAAATTCTATAAAATATATTTAGGTAATATAAATCACGAGCTTTATCGAGTCATATTTCTAGTGACATTTTCAGATATCACATTTTTGTGATGCGATAAATAGCCAAAGTCACTAAAATAAATGTCAAGCAGACAGAGCACCGTGACATAACGACCTATATTTACTATAGGTCAAGTGGACTTTGGCAAACAGTTGCCGTTTTTAATTAACTAAAAAGCCGGGATATCGAATATTTTTCAACGTAACGTATGCAATTGATATTGCATAAATTGAATAATACTTCAGTAACTGGTTCGAATTGCGACAATAATCAAAAAAGCTTTGAGCTCGATAGCTCTTCGTTGTTTTGGACAAAAAATAAAAACTTTTAACTAAATCAAGATATTGCTGTAAAAATCATCAATGAGGATATTTGTTTTGCGCATATTTTTTTAATCGGTTTATCCATGTTTCTATTCTTTTCTTTCTCTCTTTCTTTCTCTTTTTCGTTCGCTCTTATTTTATTTGTATATAGATTTTTATTTTTTATCTTTTTCTAAATAGCACGATGTAGAGTGGACGAATTCGAGTGTGCCAGCGGTTCATGCGTCAGCAAAAGAGCAAGATGTGATGGACGAAACGATTGTCTCGATCACTCTGACGAGTATAATTGCAATGGTATATTATTTTCCTTTTTAATATGTATTGAGTTTAATGTGTTTTACATTTTTTATATGTTTTATTCCTTTACAATATTATATTATTAAATTCCGAATTATTTATAATATTTTTAGGAATTATATTATTTCTTAAGCAAAGACACAGGAATCAGAACTGTTCGATTTAAAGAAAATTGTTTTGTGGCACAATTACAATATTATATTGATTACCCCGCAATAAGATTACGAATGTTATTCTATAATTAATTTTTTTAATATGGATTGATCTTGTAAATTCTACGAAAATAACATCTTTCTGTTTATGTCTTTATATCATTATTTTTAGTGACCACCTGTAGCGGAGACCAATTCCGGTGTCTCGACGGTATCTGCTTAAGTATCGACAAGCGCTGCAACGGAATCCCTGACTGCCGCAATGGCGATGACGAACATCAATGCGGTAAGCTAATTCGTTTTTTCCCCCTCTTTGAAACGTGTACGTTACTCGATCGATTCTTAGAGGCTGTCAGAATAACACAAATAGATTATATACCAATGAGATTTCAATGATGCGGATTTCAAGAGAGTTTCAAGTCCTCTTTATTGTTCTCAATTGTTTTTTCTTCGTGTTAACATATATATATATATATATATATATATATATATGTATATAAACTCTACGTTGTGACATATTAACAACTAATTGTGAGATTTATAATTACTTTTGTACGTGCAACGATAACTCTTCCGCAATGGTACAGCAGCAATAAGTTGCCGCGATAAACTTGCACCAATGCTCTTTGTTAAGTGTCGGTTATCCAACGCGATTATTTACGAGCGATCGAGAGGGGCGCTTGAGCTTAAACGAGCGTCAAACGCGCCTGCGAAGTTTGCCAACAAGATTACAGGTACTTTAATAAGTCTCGCGGATAAATTTAATAGTGATCTCACATTTTTCTAAACTCGTATGCGTAAAAATAACATCGCAAAAATTGTGATTCAGATATCCCTTACAAATTTCAGAGAAGAGACAACATCTTTTTCTTTTTTAATATAATCTCGTCGCGGATGAAATTTTTTTACCGTGTTGCAGCGGCAAAATTTGCGAACAGAAACTGCCATGTATTTACGCTCGCACATAATTATGCGTCTGGCGAGCAATTTGAAAATCCCCGGCGTTGGTTACGCCACTGTAATGTGAATACGTAAACTTAATTTCCTCCAGCACGCTTCGCGTGACTTTCGATTTACGATTTTCCACGCTGACCGAACTTTACGCCCAGTGTGCAACCTCGAAAATAACGTCTTTTCCTAAAATAGTTTAGCCAATGTCGTTGCCATCTCATCTAATCTTGGTTTCATTGCGATCTAAACCGGAACACGATCAGTGTGTGAAGAGGGCAACGAGCTGTCGAATTTCAAGCATTCCACTAACGTATTCAGATTTGTTGCATAATTTACAACGTTACTAATTCCTAAACGCGTTTACCTTCAATGATCGATTTTTGCGCAAAGTAGGTTCAACGTTCTTGTAATCAACGTTTACGGAGCAAAGACATCAATTCTCTTTATCAATCAAAGATAGATTAATCGCGAAAATTAAAAAATCTAGTAATTTATAATATATATTTCGCTGCGTATTAACATATCTTTGATTGGGGAAGAACAGATTGTTATCTCTCTGTTCGTATACTCTTGCTATATATTTTTCCTTCATATATATATATACTAACCTCAGCATACAAAAAAAGCAACTCAGCTCAAAAACATTTCACCAGGTAAAGGTGCGAATATCCGTGTCTACCGTCCAAGTAATATAACTGTGCGTTGTTCGTACTGTAATTCATATTTTAATTGCGCCATGTATCATTCATAAATACGCTACTCTGATTTGGTGTCGTCGTTTAACGTCCTCGCGCAGTTTGTCTTGACACGTGTCTTGGACGATAGATTCGGAATAATAAAGGGCTTGCTTGTAAGCCGCAAGTCGCGGCTTGCTGGAGGATCACGAACGATCTTGAGGATGCGGGTGGGCTGACACGCGTCAGTGGGCAATGCATCTTTAAATGCGCATGAGTGTGGTGTATGGAGCAGGTTGCGGAGATGCCGAGTTTCGCTGCACGGACGGCCGCTGCATCGGCTACGAGTTGCAGTGCAACGGGATGAACGAGTGTCCTGACGGATCCGATGAAAGGGACTGCGGTAATTATAATGTCATTCCACAACGTCATACACAAGTCACACACTTTTACTCGTTCTCTTCCTTTTACATATACAATGCAGACGTACATTACGCATACACATAGGTATACGTATTATTACATCATTTTCTCGGATGAGTGTAGAAACATTCTTAACGTTACGAATTGCATTTAAACATTATAATAATAGCACTTGTCATTCGCAGAATATTCCGTTAGCATCGTGAAATTTTAATGTCAGATTACTTGATTATTTAAAGTCAGTGACATTGAATGCTTGTAAAAAATTAAAATTAATGTAGAAAGGTACTTTATATAATGCAAAAAATTGTATATTCATATAATATAGAATATATAAAATTTTTTAAATGTTTGAATTTTGTGAAAATGGTTATATGTATATAAAAAAAAGTTTTGATCAATTTAATTTTTAATTTTGTACAGATTTTGATTTCGCCAGGGCTTTATTATTACAGTTGAAATATAAAAATCTGACACTCTAAAAGCGATATTCGACGAACTTATTCTTTATCGATTGCGCTGACTTTTAAATTTAGTTTTCAAGAATTTAGTTTTCGCCAAACATTTTCGCCACTACACTCGCTCTTCTTCGTGATGATGTCTTTTTAATCATACTTATCACGAAATCATGCGTCGTCGTAGAAAAGTATTCGTGGCAACCCTACTATAATGCCCAAAAGTTGGATGCGATTGCACGGAAGTCGTGGATTTTCTACGGTCGAAAACCTATAGAACGCCGAAGGAATATGAATATGAAGCCCGAAACGACGGAAAGTATCTATCGACTCACCATCAAGCCAGTCGTGATGATCGGTAACCCGATCTTGAAAGCGTTTCTGGAAGAAGCTCAACGACGGAGATCCCCAAACTCTACGCTGCAGAATTTCTCGACATACTCGACAAGAATTACGCCCAAATCGAAAAATAACGAGCGCACCTCGTCCTCGCAACACGAATCGGACAACGTAGAATTTGATCAATCCCACGAACCTGACATGAAGAATTGCAATAACGGCATTCATCATTTAACTATCAACCACGCCTTGTTGCAATTAACTGAGCTTCAAACTTTCAAACCTAAATCTTTAAAATTGTCAGACAGTCTTATAGGATCATTATTAAGATTCAAACATTACAATCTTTTATTAAAAGATGTTCGCTTACAATTTATTAATAATCAGGATGATGGAACGCAAAAAATGAAAAATGAAAGTAATTTCGATTATAAATCGAAAAAGTTTAATTTAAATGTACAAATTAATTCTTCATCCAATTCCACAAAGGACAGATATGCTACTGAAAAAAACATTTTCAATATGAAGAACTGGAATATTAAAGTAAAAATAATACTGTTTTAAGAAATGAAGAAAGCTATCGGAACGACATTAATGTAACAGAAACAAGATTGGAAAAAGAACAGAAAAAAGTTAAGCAGTTAAAAATACCGATGAATATATTAAATAAAGACCATACTATTGTTAATAATACAAAAGAGTCGCATCGCTTTGAAAATTCTATTTTCGAAACTATGACAAATACCGTTACTCCACAGATTAACGATAGGATTTACGAATTTACTGAAATTACATCTATATTTCAACTGAATAATTCGACAGTCGCTGAGATTTCGAATAAGACAACTTACACGACAACTGAAACGATGACGACAAACGACACTGACATTAATCGAAATTTAAGTGTGATAGATGTGAATCGCAAGAACAAAAGTCTTAGGAAAATGTCACGTAGAAAGCAAGCTTCTGCTTTCCAGAAATATTACGATAAATACTTGAACAAGTTAATCTTTGAATCTAAATCTTCAAAAGTAGAGGCACGTCAATATTTTCCAAATATTAATCAAACCTTTATAAATGTCAACGGTATCGATAAAATGTCGATAGATTCTTCGACTTCAAATCATAGCTCGATTCAACAAAATCGCGATCGAGATAAGAAAAAATGTAGGACGAGTAAAATGCGCAAACAATCAAATAGCACTTTGGAAATATTTCACGGAAGTAATGAAAGCTCGATGGAAAATAACGACAAGATTGATTCCGAATTAATAAACCCCAACAAAACGTCCGAATCGATAAATATAGACGATTACGCGTACTCGATATCAAAGGAATCGCAAAAATCCAGAGAGATTCTGAAAATAGAATCAAAGAATGATGTCGCCTTTCTGTTAAACTGGACGAAAATGCCTTCGACGAGTACTCCAGACATTGTCACGCAAAATGAGAACGACTGGAGGGAGGAAGAAACCGAAAAACTTGACAAACACAAGCGCAAAGATCGTCATAATGATCATAAAAACAATAGACCCAAGAAGGGGAAGAAAAATTACAATGCGAAGCGTAAGAAGAAACTTACATCAACCACTTGGACGGTCGACGAGACGACGAGTGTCGATTATGACAACGATTATAGCTCAGAGCGCAGAAAGACTATGTCTTCTCGTAATGATCCAGGATATGACAAAGCTGACGGTAATCGGAATACGAGTACTGGCAAGAGCGACTGGCACCTCACTGATGAAATTACAACGGAACCTCCTAAGATGGAATTCTCTGACGTTGATGAGTCCGTCACGGAACACCTTACAAAAGACAACACCGAAGAAGGACTTCAGTCGGAAGGAAGAACGAATGCGGATCTTATCACCGATGATACTACATTTCGTTCATCAATAGCGTGTAAAGGGAAAAAATTTAAGAAATGTCAAACTCGGATTGCAGCAACCACCGAGAATAGTTGGTTGTATGACAAAAAAATAAATAATGAAGGAGATGAAGAATTGATTAATTGTGAAGATGTTACATCGCTTCCTGCCACCAACAATTTGGAGGATCAAATCGAAACAGAAAATTATAGTGATGATTATTATCTTCTCGCGCATGAAAAAATATCTACACCAACCAGTATTACTTTATTTCCAAAAAAAATTAATTTAAAAAAGAGTACAACGTATAATACGATTACGAATCGAGAAAGTAAAGACAGAAATAATGCAACAGAAGGAACAATCTTGAATAAACAAAGTGATGAAAATAATGAAAAAACACATGAATGGTTCTGGAATAAGGAAAGCACTACAAATTCTATAACAAGAAGTACCACCCACGATGCAATTTCGAATCTCAATGAAGAGGAAGAAGATTCAACAGAGAAATTTACGGCCATCGAAGACAATAACGAAATCGATAACGGCGTCGTAACATCAATCGTGGAGGATTATGAGGCTGTTAACTGCAATGAGAATCAATATGCATGCGACAAGTACACTTGCATCGAGAACGATCAAGTTTGTGACGGTATCGTAGACTGTATTAACACCGGTGACGAGATTAACTGCGATCGTATATACATGAAGAGATGGGAGGAGCACCTGAAAGTCAACGGACAGCCCGAGAAGTTTGACCTTCCGTCACAGAATTCGATCGAAAACACGTTGCTCGATGGATGCAGCCTTTATGAGCATCCCTGCGATGGCACGTGCATAAACGCACTGAACATTTGCGACGGCAAGAGAGACTGTCTGGACGGTACCGATGAGGAGGGCTGCCCGAGCTTGGAAGGTATATCCTGTGTAAAAAATAATATATGAATGATCCCGATTTGCTCTCTTCGTCTCTGCTGTAAAAAAGTTTCTCGCCTGGGCGAAACAAGAATGCGAGATCACTTTGAGCAAACGTGACATTATTTCGAAATGACTCGTCATCTTTGCTGTACAGAAAATGGCTTTGAAGATGTCAGAATGGCTAAATGTGAACGTCTTTGGGAAACTCTACCGAGATCTTCTATGGTGGGAAACATCTAAGAGGCATTACTTCCGGGTGCTTCGTTTTCTATGTGTGTATTTTTATTAGGATACTGCAGACAGAGATGTTGAAAATCCACGTCGTCTATTATGTGTAATACAGCTTTACATTGTGTCGTCCATCTTTGCTGTAAAAATATTGCCTTCTATGGAGAGGAAGAAAAACGGTCGAAAAGAAAATCTAGAAACGACAAGTTTTAAATTGCAGAAACCGAAAACGACTATTTTATTTCTTTCACAATCTTAGACGATTGTCATTTTTATCTTTAATTTTTTTTAGACTTATTACTCATCGAAATTTCTCAAGAGGATTTGCAATTGACGATTACATGGGAATTGATATCAATGGTTGCGTAAAAATTATTCTCCATACAATATCTTTATGTAATCACAATTAAATCGCTGATCGATCACTCTCAACCCAAAGTACAAATCCTCTTTTAGATCTCTCATTCTATTTTTCATATAAACACATACATATTTATTCTTTACAAAGATACAGACTACATCCACTTCTACGTCCTTAAATCACGGAAAGAGAAATTTTAATGACACTCTAGAGAATCATTTTCGCGATATTAATGAATCTACTCATACCTGAACACTGTATATACATAATCCACGTTGAAATAATTGGGAAGATAAAGGAATGGAGACTGTGCATATAAAAATTGAAAGAGTTTATTTATAAATACATATGGAATTAATAAATAAAATAAACACATGACGATAAATAAAATAAACACATAGTCTATTGAATAAAAATATTCGATTTTATAATTCAAAAGTGCAAGCATTGTCTCGTATTCCTGCCTTCTCTCGTAATCGAAATAAATCTAACCACTTTTGAAGGGCTTCTTCACAATGCTTTATATGTTAGACAAGCTTCAAAAGAGAATCTTGTACAAAGATCTCTTGATCGCAGAATCGCGCGTTTTACCAAAGACGCTTTTTATGTACAGATTACTCTCTACCATGCCTAAAACTGCTTTAAATGTATCTTCGTATGTCCATATATAGCTTGTACGTAATCTCAACCTCTAACTCGTTTGTCACCGTCGTTTGTATAAATAAAAATTATTTTATTTTGTTGTTATTGTGAATTATTTAAGACTAGTTTTAATCATTATTTTTTTTTACAGTATAGTAATTATTATTTATAATTTTGATATGACACAGTAGTATATATCGGCTGCCATTTAAAGGCATTTAAAAATTATTTCGTTTCGTTTAATCTATCACAGGTAGAATTACATGACACGAAGTATCCTTTGGATTCTCAAATTTGAATTTAGAAATAAAAATTAATATCACGACGACTGAATGACAGAATGACGAGCGAGCGTTGATGAAGAGAGTCTTTGTTTTTGTCGGTGGCATCCTGTAGGTTTGGCCCCGTGCCCTCCCATGGACTTCACTTGCGGAGATGGCTCTTGCATACCGAAGAGCTCGATCTGCGACGGATTCGACGACTGCCCCAGGGCAGAAGACGAACTTCATTGCGGTACATAACCATGTATACCATTTATGCCATCTGATATCGAAGAGAGAAAGAGAGAGAGAGAGAGAAATTTAATTAAAAAAAAAAAAAAAAGTAAGAAAGAAAAACAAGAGAAAATGTGTGTATAAATGTATGTGTATGTGTGTGTGTGTGTGTGTGTGTGTGTGTGTGTGTGGATGACTTCCTGGTGTGATATCAACCAATGTTATTTTGACGTTTAACGCAACTTGGGCTTTAAAAAAAATATTTTTGAACTGAAATACAATATTTTTGTAGCAGTATCGTTACGCCATTCAAACAATAACAAATGACGCGATAGACTTTTAACGACAAACGCATAGAAATTGGTTTTGAATAATTGGTGCAACTTATTTATTTGCACATTGATATGGTATTCGACTTGTATATTGGCAATACAATTAAATTATTAAATAAAATACTATATAAATTCATATGCATCAGTATTATATATAAGAATTATTAAATTCTAACAATTTTATATTATATATGTATATAATGCCAAGTTTTTTACTGAATAATTATTTAATGATAATATTTCTATACTTTAGATAGAACAAGATTATATTATTTTCTCATAATTACATCGATATTCGTAATTATATTGAATTATAGTATCTCGATTTATTTATAACTGAATTGCAGTGAATTATATGTATAATTGGAATGAAAGAGTGCAAAAGTTGCTAATTCTTTCTCTCTTTCTTTTTTGAATCTCTGCTTTGCTTATACCCGATATGTACAACGCTTGCCATTAAAACGATCGCTTGATCATTTCACCTCGTTGGATTCAATAACAGATTCATTCCGCATTAGTTAGAATCGTTACAGAAACGCTTACTTGAATCTGGATCCAACATAATCAGAAATGACGATTTTAATCGCAGATTTCAAGCTCAAATAATTGAATAATAAAGCCGTTTTGATTTATAAGTTAATTTTTACACACAAAACATTTGTCAATTTGATTCTCTCCATTATAAGAAATTACGCATATTAAACGTTAACTGCTCAAAAAACAAAATTATTATCTAATTGTAAATATATGATTGTAAATATGAACTATGGATATATCTCTGCGTTTAAAATCTCAGCTCGTACATTTTTCTGTTATTTATAATCGTGTAAATAACTCTAAAAGCTCTATCATTATCCTAATGCATTCCTATTCCTTTGAAATTCTCTCTTTATACAAGATATGTAAATAAAATCATAATGAGAGAGCATATAAATTGCAATACACACTAGAAATGTAACGTTTTCCTCCAATTAAATTAAGGTGTAATTTAATTATTACAAGAAATAATTTAATAATTTATTTAATTATTACAATATATGAAAAGTAATAGTTTAACACATGCAATGTAATCCATTTGTAAATATATAATATGTTATTTATTCGATGCTTCTATCAGATATCAGTGTGAAAACGCGCAAATATTATTTTCATACGTATCGAATATGCATGAAAACAACGATTCTTTTTGCTACATTTGATTCTAAATACACCAGAATTGACTGACAAACGATTTCATAATGTCGGATTATTATACACATTTGTGGGGGGAGGGAGGGCGCTAATAATCGCGTATCCTCCCACAAAAGTAGTCGATTCCCATGCGGAGGAAAGCTATACTTATCGTCACGACACATTTTTCGCGTCGCATGCACGCGACATCGTAATCCGCATTAACCAATACAGCAAGCTATTTTTTATGAGCGTTTTATCTAACCCAATAAACGATTTATGCTTTATAAACACGAGCCGAAAATATAATTTCCAATGCCCTCATTCATACCGTAACTGTAAACTGATATTCTCATTATCCCCAGAGGCAACTTTTCGCTTTCGTGATGTGATAATACCAGCAAAAGCTATTAATTGAAAAAAATATCTGGAAATAAAAACGAAATTCGGCACGTGTCATTATCGTGTCGGAAACGTTTCGCTCCGAAAAATTGAAAAGTATAAGCGTGGCTTTCAGCTTTATTATATACATATATTACATACATACATTATATATATAATATATGTACAAAATATATTATATATATATAGTATATATATATATACATACATATATGCACACAGAGTCATTGTATCGTGTAAAAATGTGTGTGTTCTTTGCGCATATGTTCGCTGAACAAAACAAAATACAGAGCGGGAATGCACGCCTAGCCAGTTCAAATGCGCCACCGAGAACAAGTGCATCGAGGATGTCTACAGGTGCGACGGCCATCCGGATTGTCCAGATCATAGCGACGAGGACTGCGCTTCATCCGCTAACGACACTACACACACCACTTCGCCTACCACCAGTACGCTCCTTTTTCAGTGTGTCCGTCGCTTCATTCATAATACATTCATGCAACAATCTTGTCTAGACTGTCTCACTAACGTAGAATACGGCTGAATCAATTGCTTTCACGCGTTCTCTGTATTTTCTTCAATAATCTAATTTTTCGAATCATTGATTCTTTTATATTGCATCAAATCACAGTTAAAATCGAATTCGTGTTTATATTATTTCTTTTTAAATATGTAAATCCAACTAATAATTTTCTCTTCTCTCGTAACTTTATTAAGTACGCGACGTTTCTTTTAAATGCAATCGATTTCACTTATTTATGCCATTCTATAGAGGAGATTTAAAAAATATTGTCGAGCCGATATTGTAAGAAAATTTTCTGCTTTTGCTCCACAATGTTTGGTTTCGGCCGGATCCTCTTAAGGAACTCTTATTTACGTGGGACAAGTGGATCTACCTGCTCGCACACGGATACACACTAGACGATGGTTGCATTTCATTGTACATTTTTCACGATCAATCGTTTTACGTGGTCGAGAAAGCGATTCTCCGTCTTGTTGCTTTTCGAAAGAGAAGCAACGAGTATTGTAATATTTGTCACCGTATCGAGCTAAAAAAATTTATACGCGTATAAAACGCGGACACTGAACTTTATCGAGACAACTTATTGAAGATGAAAAAGTATCATTTTTTTTATTCGGCGAACCGAGTTCTCGACGACGGCTCCACTTTTATCGTACCACCCCCGAGTGCGAAGGGATCGGGAGACACACCGGAAACGCATTATCCCGCGAATCCCCGTGTACGGAAGATTCACGGCGATCGTCGATGGTATGTTCTCGTCCATTCGTGTCACAAATCGCCGCGAATATATAAAGCAATTCACGATATATATACATATGTATATATATCATAAGTTGCTTTATATGTATTGTATAAATATATATACATTGATATAAATAGCTGCATTGCGCATGAACTTGTATGGTCAGATGCAATAATAATATGTATTTGACGAGAATGTCTTTAATCACGCGCCTCCGAATTTTTCTCCCTGCAAGTTTCTTTATCCCATTTTTACGGTAACTGACTTTCCATTTTTCTTTGCCTAATTAATTGCCGAAAAGATGATAAAGAAATAAAGATGAAAAATTTGGAGAATTCGATGAGGATATTCTCACTTGGCATTTTGTTGCAACACTTGGCCACGCATTTGTACGATTTTGCTTAGGAGTTTGGTGTTCACCTCTTTCTTAGTCCTTGTTGCATTCGAAGCTGCATTAAATTGCATTTATATGAGATAAAGTGAGCATCTTATATCTTGCCTTATTATCTTTAAATTTCATCTCTGGATGATGCTCCTTTCCTTCTATTACCTTGAATGTGCCTGTATATGCGCTTAGACCCGTCCGATCCACGTTGGACACCGATACACAAGAGGGAATGCGATCCAAGAAGAGAAATGCGTTGCGATGACGGTGGTTGCGTTCTTTTACGGCGTAAATGCGACAATGTCTTCGATTGTCTTGATGGCAGCGACGAGCGGGGTTGCGGTAAGGGCTTTATCTCTCGTTCTCACAACTCATCCTTCTTTTCCCTGTCCCGCGCACTCATACATTATACGATGACAAACGTTTTCTGATTTCCTCTCTCCAAGTACTTATATTAACGATGACGAACGTTCTTTCTCTTTCTTCCCTCTTCTTCTTTCTGATCTGTTAAATCTATGAATTATCATTTTGCTACTACATGTATTTAATTTATCATATCGTTTCAAATATGCGAGAATTTTTTTAATATAATTATTGACAAATGAATTTAAACAAGTTGGATATACTACATCACTTTTTTCTTGTCGAAGATAAAAAACGCTTTCTTCTTCTATATCTCGCTAATTTATTTGTCATTATTTTTAATATTATTCAATTAATGTGTGTGTAAGAATTTGAGTGAATTGTATTATTTTTTAGCATAGCAATATAGAAATTTCTTATTAAATATAATAAATTAATTACGATTTTTATATTTATATCTAATATTTATATATGATATTTGCAGTAACGTTTGTCATCGACAACTTAATTTAAAAGATTATTATTGATGTGTTGCAATATTTTTTTGAATATTCAATGGTATTATTATATTAAACTTAATTTACTTTTTTAATTGCATTTAAATTTATTTTGCCTACATATTTTTTGTATATCGAAATTTTGGTGAATCTTAACAAGATGTACATTAAAATGACGGGCGTACATTATAATGATACCATTGATGATTCCCCACTATGTCCCCTAACGCTTTTTGCGGGAGCTTTCGACGTATCTGTGTCGTAAAGGGCTATGTACACCTGCCGAATGGAAATGCGCCAGTGGCGAATGCTTGCCGGAAAATCAGAGGTGCGATGGGATAACGCAGTGCAGCGATGGGTCTGATGAGGATCGATGTGGTAATTATATAGCTTTTGCCCGCAATTATCATAAAAAATGGCCTTTACATTGCTCCAACTCGTTATATTGAACCGTACACTATCAAAATTTTACAGATAATACAAGAATATTGCAAGCTTTACTTATTTATAACTTAATCTTTGATGAACGTATTTCGATTAGAATGATTATTTATGTAATTAGATGTAGCATATTATTTATGCAACATTTTCCAAATTCAATTTTGTATTATCAAAGTAATCATTTAATAGTATATATATTCTTTTGTCCATTTTAATTAATGCCTGTAAATTAACATTTGTGTTATTTTTTTAATTATCTAAATTGTTTTCCTTCATATAATATCGGATGCAATAACAATATATCATTATTCTCATTTTAATTTCTACTTCTAATTATTCCTCTTTATAAGACAAGAATGCATTTTAATATCAAATAACGTCGTAAAAAACAAAATATTAAATTGAGTTTATATACTTTTTGCATGAGACCGTCTAATCGATGTCGGATTCTTTTGCGAACAGAAAGAATCATTCTTGAATGTAATGCACGATCAGTGCGATATTGCATGTTGCATTTTGTCTATGTTATAAATTGCAGATGTATCTTTGAGAATATGATCGATAAAATAAATTTGGGAACTTTCGCGCATAATGAAGCTCCTGTAAGTAGATCACGATATTATAATTGAGCGATGCAAGAAGGGTGAATGTGTCACCATGAAATCAGAAAAATTAATAGTTTTACTGTATATTTTGCCTGGGAAAATTATTAGAGCAGAGTGATTAATATTCAAGTAGAATACAATAATATATAACTCACAAAAACGAGAAGCAGCATTTGTTTGATAAAAAATTCATATTCGTATAATCTGCGCGAGCGTTTATTGTTATATTTGCTCAACACTTAAATAATTATATAAATTTTAATATCTATCTGCTTTGTTGTTTTAAAATTGGAATATTATTGAAAGGATTTTTTTTTTTTAAAGAGAATTAAATTAAATATTAATTGCAATAAAATTATAATTTTATTATAAATTTATAGATAAGACGTATTTCGAGAAAAGAGAAAGACATTTCTTCATACATATATGTACCATGGTGATTATTTAAGTGTTAATAAAAAATAATTATTATGCACGGTGCGAGCACGTTTTTCTTACATGTTATTCGATTATCTTGAACAAATTATCTTGCGAGACAGCGCAGTGGTAAGGCCATTTTTTCCGCTCTCCTTTCCTCGTGTAGGTAGCATGCACGATAATACTCGACATGGAACTTGATAATTATTGTAGTAACCGAATGCCCAGCTGGATGGTTTCGATGCAACGATGGAATATGCCTCGACAATAAGAGACGTTGCGATGGTCGGCCGCATTGCTTGGACGGCTCCGACGAAATCAATTGTTTTCGTAATGATTATAATTTGGCTTTATTTCATGTGTGCGGAGGATGAAATAGACCTAAGCCAAACACTCTTGGAACGAAATCGACTTAATACAGTAGTTCCGATTAAGTGCTGCTTTATAGCTACTTTTGTAGACGCTGTCTGAATAGTATAGTGATATCTCTTAAATAATATAATTGCATTGAGCAAGAGAGAATTAGAATAAGTTATTGATATTTTAAAATTATATTATTTTTTCCGTTTGATTCCTTCGATTTAAGTTCCGTTTTGTAACTTAGGTCTGTGTCCTTCTTAGCGCATTATTTATTAGCAATAATGGGAATAATGCGCACGAAGAAAGTTTATCATTAATTTTTTTCCATGGATTTTGATAATGATTGCACGCATGATTTTGTAATAATAATTAAAATTATATTAATTAATAATAATTAAGATAATTTTTTTTCGTGCGCTGTTCTGTTTTTAATCTCTACGTAACGTTACTTTCATCCCCTAATTATCTCTCGAACTGTCTATCAGCATTTTCATCATGGATTATAATACTTTCTGCGATATATGGCATTCTTGTTATGGGCATATGATACTTATTCTTAACGACTTAACAGTAAATGAATGTAACCATTTGCTAATTTATTTGCTCATGAATCAGTCTTGCGTTACAAAGAAGGTATATGTTTGCATTTTAAGACTTGAATCCAAGAATACTAAATGCTATGACTATCATAACTTTCTTTCTATTTATCTTGTCTCTGAAACTTGGTCTTATTTTTATCTTACATCCTTACGTTTTAATTTTCTTCATCGATACTTCATTAACTTTCTTTCATCAAGATTGGCTTCTCTGCGTACTCTACGTACATTATTACAAGATAAGGACCATAAAGTCTGTTAGAGAGGAGTTTATATATACTTCATCTTTTGCATCGTTTTGCCTGACACGTTTTCACAAAATGCGCTTGCAGCTGGCGGCAAGACGCAGCGAAAATGCAGTGTATAAAGCTCGCTCGAGATCTAATCATGCACTCGGTCGATTTTTCAAATAAGATCGCGTTCACGAGCGACTTCTCCGAATGATCTATGCGAGATGTCGATCGTGAAGGACGTTTATAAATGTCTGCTCGTTACACGCAAAACTAGGCGGCAACTGCAACGAGCAACGACGACGAGGCCGCCTCTCGAATGACTTTTCGCGCGTCGGTATTCAAGTTGGCAATTAAGAGACTGTGTAACTAATATAAACGCGCGGCCGCGTGTACACGTACGCGGAAGCTGTTAATCTCATTTCGCCATGTATCAGGCACGTTTTAGCCGGACGTTGACTGGCCATTAACTCGAACACCGACGTGCCGCGGCACCACTTATTGTAGTCACCTCGGAGATGGACTCTGTGAAAGATGGATGAGTTAAAATCAATTGAAGGGAAACTTCATTCCTGCAAAACACTTGATAGTCAATCGAACTCGAAAAGTGTTTTCGAAACATTCCGAAAGAGAGAGATTCCTAGTTTTCTTTTATTGTCGATATATTAATTTGGATGTAATTAAAATGGTATATATATGAGAATTAAAATAAATTTTAATTCATCTTCTTTCACATGTGTAATAAACAATTTCTCTTTCTATGTTTTAGTATCATACCTAGGTATCTTTTTTATATTTTAACGTTTAGACACAATAAAATATAATAATAAGATAAGATACAATAATTGAAAATAAATTCGATTTTATATTGTTTCTTATATTTTTTATTTGCACTAAATTTTTATATCTTATTGTGTCTTGATTCTTATAGTTGTTTGTGTCTTGAATATTGACTTAATAACTATAATTGGGCATATATAACATACATCTTGATTACGCGCTCGGATTTCTTGACATGCATTTTGCATCGATTATGGATGGGATCGAATTAACTCTATCTATTCTTCACTTCTCTCTGTCTTTCTACTTGTCTATCTCTGTATGCCTTATCTATTATCTATTATCCCTCTATTTTCAGCACAGGTTGCCTAATCTTTGAATTGTGCATCTATCCGTATATATACATATCTATATTTGCGTGTGTATATATGTATATATACATTCCTCTCTCTGATACCCTTTTATCTCCGGTTATTTACGTCTCTGCAATTTTCCACACCGCGCGTTGACGCGTGCACAAACCGCGCTCTGTTGTTACATATACCACGTAGCTCGTGACTGACGTAACGCGAACTTTTGTAAATGTCACGTTTCGCACGATGATCCTCTCCGCGTGAGAAACTAAGTTTAACTTGTTTAAATAAAAAAAAAGCAACGTTCATGTATATACGAACAATAGTTAAAATTGATTTAATCAAAGAAATGACGTTTATACGGTAATTTTTTAGATTATAATTTATCGGTATGGTATGCAGACTTAAAAAAAAGTTTTTAATTAGAATATGAGACACGCACGACTCTGAAAAATTTGTTTCTCTTCCTTCCGGTGTAGTCTATTTAATCAATTAAGGTGAGTGCGTGCTGCACGCGGCATCGCGCGCCGCCGTCTTCATCTTTCTCGAGGTGTACGATACACGGCAATGTGCACAATGCTTATTTGACGTTCCGCATCGGCGCACTTTTATCGCTCCCTCCGCTCATCGCAGGAGGAAGCACCTCTCGCGGGACTCCTTGTCGATCGATACAATTATCGAAGGCACTTGGTCAGCCTCGCGCGTCTAATTTCTTCGTGAAGGGTTGCGCGGTAACACATCGATTGTCGTTCGCACTTTTTTTTCCGGCTGACTCACACGAGGGTATTCTTCGTGACCTCGACGACCTGGCTGAGAAATGCCAAGAATGTCCATCGCCTGTGGAATAATTGTTATTAGACAAACGTGCACATTGCCGCTTTGTACCGTTTAAACGTACACAAAGAATCGTCCTGTGTTCCTTCCGCTCTTATTTGCAATTCAACGGAGTCGATTGATTTTTGCAGAATGCCCCGACGGTCAGAAATCCTGCGACAACGGCGTCTGTATCAATAAGGACTTCTTCTGCGACCGCAATATCGACTGTCTTGACACTAGTGACGAACGAAATTGCCGTAAGGACATCTTTAGATTTTAAGATAGACACATTTTCTGCATATTATACGCTTTAAAAACTGCAACATTCGGTTATCCATCCAAACAACATTACGCAACAAATCTTACATGTATTTTCTGTCTGTCATGCAGAAAATTTTCCAATTTCAATAAAGTGCATAGATGCATGTATAATTCGAACAATTATAATAGATAAAATCTTTCATTTGAGATATTTATAGAACTCCTTCCTTCCGCGTTCTGCAAATTTTTATTCAAGAAATGAATAAATAACTTTGATAAACGTGTTGTTGTTTCATCTTGTAGCGGATAGCGGGGCAACCGGCGGTTCTGGACAGGAATGTCACCCCGACAGCTTTACCTGCCATGATGGCAGCTGCATACCTCATGCGGCGGTATGCGACGGCCGTGCGGACTGTCCGCATGATGAGGATGAGATCAACTGTCGTCAAGGTAAGTCAGTCTTTAGAATGACACTCGGAACCCATATCCCTGCGCTCTGTCTCTTCTTTCATTCAAAAAGCTGCGTTAATTTAGGTCAAAAATGATCCTCATTAATAAAATATTCAGAGGATGGATAGAAGAAATACAATCTCACTCTTTGTTGGTTACATAATTCAGGTTTATCGATATGACTCAATCTTCAAGACGTATTCATAGCTAAGACTCAAGACGACGTACGTACGATGGTACGGTTCGAGAAGGCAACCTTATTTCTCAACTTGCCCTTACGTCACTACCACGTTTAGAGTGTTGAATGAATATTTTCTTGGACGAAGTTTGAAATTTAATCCCGCCCTGGCTATACTTCATGCAACGGACAAGTTATTCTTACGTCACTAAAGCTTCGCGCGTAAGCACTAGACTTGCTTTCGTCAATGTAAATAAATCATATTTCTAAAACGGGTTTGATACTTGGTATATGATTTAAGGCGATAGTCAAGACACAAGACAGCTTCGAGCTTTGTTCAAACTATAGCTTCATGTCCAAGCTCATTTTATCCTGATTATGCGTACGTCGTCTCCAGAGCGACGAAGGCTTTTTCAAGATTATCGAGCTCGGCGTATATTATCGTTGCAATCGCGCGGGTATCACCGATCACATATTCCACGTGAACACGGCAGTTCAGATTGAGTTACTTCTAGGTGTAGATGCCTCGGATAGAGCCTCCTCGGGGGGGCGTCCGGAGACGGGGGTGAATTCGGATAACGAGACTTACAGCCCCGACACAAATGCAAATGTTGATGTGCCGCCGACAAATCTGAGCACGCCGAGGAGTTGTGCTCCGGATGATTTTGTTTGCGCCGATGGCACTTGCATCCCCGAAACTCACCACTGCGACCATTTCTACGATTGCCGCGACTTTACCGACGAGCAATACTGCTTCGGTTAGATTATTTCTAGATCTTGAAAATCTGGTGATAGATTCAGCTTTGCGAAAATCTCACCTGATCTCACACGATTCTTTTCTCGATGTTTTATCGATGAATTTCGCTATTATAGAAAAGGAGATAAATTATTACAATGGACTGACATGTCTTCTGAATAATTATTCGCGCGTGAATTGATTTACGAATTTATATTACTCTGTCATTATAGTAAAAAAAATATTTTACGCGGATGATTTTTTATTATAAGATTTTTCGTCATTTATCATTATTTTATTATATTCTTCAGCTTTTTGTCACATTATTTCGTCGGAGAATAATTTTCAATCTTTAATGAGCATTTCCCAAGTTTAAAGTTTTACGTCGATTAAACATTGAATAGACTTCTATGGTATTTCTCTGTGATATTCTTTTTAGGAATTTTATCTCATCTTTCCAAGTATATTAAAGTTTGCTCTTTTATCCGCGAGATATTCTGAATATAGTCTAAATTCCTTCAAAGCACCAGATTTTCTTGAATCTATATTTTTTCTGCTAAATCTGTGTTAGCAGCTGAATAGAAGATGTGTAGGTTGTTGGAGTAGAGATTTGATTATATTTATAAAATTTACAATCAAACATCGCAGTCTTATATTATCCGGCGCATCCTTATAAACAATAGTGCATCTCTGCCTGGCGTAAAATTTAGATCATTTCTTTTTCTCGTAGGTAGAGAGTTTGATATAAATCCTATTATGGCATGCATAGTGTGAGGAAAGTACATTTTTATCTGTAGAACCTTTCTGTGCAAGAAAGTTTGTATTACATCTTAGATGGAAAGTTACTTTAGAAAATTAATATTTAACGATACCATTTTATTAAAATCGTCTATATGAATGCAGTGGATTAAAGAATCATAAATGTCTTTCCTCTTAAGTCCACGTTATATTGAATGACGAATTATATACATATAAGTGTTTGTAGATTGACAATCGGTGCACACGGTAAACGGGAAAATGCATTTAAAAAAAAACGAAAACGCATGAAGATACATTTGTATTTAAATTCATGGATCTACTGTGTGAATTGATTCTTAATATATTATCTAGATTTTAGATCGGAGCTGTTAAATATTTTTAACTTTAAGCAAGAAATTGACAAAAGAAATCACTTAATTAGACAGCTCTGTTCTAGACTCCATGTTTTTAACAATCTTTTTTAGGTAATCGTTATCTCCATCGTATTTATATTTCGACGTTAGATCATTGTTTAGATTGTCATGACGGACATATATGATGGCTCCATGGCTGACATTTTACATGTATCTGTGTCTCATCTATATTGTTTTCTTCTTTTAACGGACAAACGCGGCTTGTGGTTGTCTCGTCGATGTATAATACGAGCCTCTTATTTTAGGATGCACGCGAGATCAGTTCCAGTGCGCTAACGGAGATTGCATCCCCGCCAATCAGAGATGCAACGGATATATCGAGTGTGCTGATGGTTCCGACGAGCCGGAGGAATGCGGTAAGTATATAATGAGTAACACGTAATTAATCAATGCGTAATAAAAAAAAATTTTACGCACATAACTAAACTGGACGTAGAGCTGTGCAATGTTCAACGTAAATGTGAAATAATTTATAAATCTAGAATTTGAGATAACAATTCCATGTACAATTTTCTACTTGGCTTATATTTTTATTTATTTATTTATGTAGAGCCAGAACGACCAGAGCCAGGTCAATGCTTAGAGAGTCAATTTATGTGCATTTCGGACAGAAGATGCGTTCCACAATCTTCCATTTGTAATGGAATTCCAGAATGCAGAGATGGATCCGACGAGCATAACTGCGGTAAGTTATTAATATATTACTTAAATTTAGCGAAATTAAAATTAAACACTCGCGGCATATAAGCGTATATTATATAGAGTAGCAAATAATAATGAGACTAAATAAAATCGTGTAATGAAACAATAGATTCGCGCATATTATTTCGAATTCTCGCGTGTAAATTAATAAACAAAAATAAATGATCAACCAAATTGGAGCGATTCCTTCTGACTTTTCCACGACTACAATCGTCAAGATATTTTCTATAATTTTACGAGGACGCAGAATAATGATACGCATTTAATACGACAAAACTAAAGAACAAGGAGAGGTATGCTCGTATGAAGAATGGCAGTGCAAGAGCGGTGATTGCATACCACGACATCAACATTGCGATCGCCGAATTGATTGTCCGTACGACGATAGCGACGAGTTGGGCTGTGACTATAGGTCGATGCAAAGAAATCACAGTACGTGCCACTCGCACGAATGGATGTGCAATGATGGTCATTGCATTCCGCTGCATCAGCGGTGCGACAAAAGGCTCGACTGTCCTAGAGATATGTCCGATGAAATGGACTGCAGTTATGATAATTGTGAGTTTTCCCCGGTAGTTAGTTTTCCGATGTGAAAACCCGTCTTTCCATAAGGGGATCACAGGTCGACCGATAACACACCATCGGCTAATCAATAATATCTTGTAAATATATGTAACATAATATCTGTTGTAACATAATATTGTATAATTGTGATATGTACATGAATACTATACTAAAAAGCTATCTCCACGTATTTACAGTAAATAGAATACGAGCAAATAAATCTGTTGTATATTTCCATTATTTAAATTGGAGTTAAATTACAATTACACCTTTACTCGATAACACACACTATCTCTTATCTGACAATAACAAGTATTTTATTTAACGATAAAAATAATAAAAGATAGATTAAAAGCATTATTTTTGTACGTTTTTAAAATTTTTAACAATATCCAGTAGTATTTCGTAGTGAACACATTGTACTCCATCACTGTATAGTATTTCACTTTTGAAAAAATTAATGATTAAATTAAAGCAACACTACATTTTCTTGTAAACAAAAAAATATAGAAGGTGTTGGAATAAAAATCTCGAATTAACAAAAAATTAATAATGCAATTAGTTTAGATTTTGTATGTAGACTTATTAATTATTAATGAGTTTATGATTACTTTTTACTCAAAAGTATACTCATTATAAAGCTATTGCTTTTGTTTATATGCAGATACCGAACATGGAACATCTGATCTTAGATTGAAAACATATCCCAGTGAACAAGTGATTAAAGAGAGTAAGTATTATTTTTCTTGTTTATGAACGTATATAGAGTGTTTAATTAAATACTGTATGCATTTGTTGCAATTTTAACTTTCTATCTAGTGATTATTATTAAGAACTAAAAACTTCGAATATTCAAAATAACCGAAAAAAATTTAAATATTAAAAAATTAATACACATAAGAATGATTAGCAACAAGTGTCGCGTTGTCGATTCTCATATTTTAAAATTAATTAATAAATATGTTTGTTATTTTCTCTTGCCTTGGTCAGACCCGGCAAAGCAAGGTAAGATTTTTAAAAGATATAAGCTGCAAAAGTCATATATTTAATGCTGTGGGCTAAAAAATAATATTCATAAATCATAAAATATGCGAAATTGATAATACATGCATATTTTTTATTGGTGTACACATAAATGTCCACATATAATAAGTATCTTCGCTTATCGATCTTATTCTATTGCGAATGCTTTGTAAAATAAGCAATAGAATATATATTTGCTGCAATTTGAAATAATTTTTTAAAAGATTTATTTTCGATAAATTATATGATTATTAATAATTCAATGTAATTGTTTTACACATTTATACACTGTTTTACATTTTACAGATATTTTTATATTACAATTAATTTACAAGATACATATTTTCTCATAAAGTGCAACTTTGAATGCAATTGAATCAGTAACAAAATTTTTTAATAATTCATTATTATTTATTATTTATCTCTTAAAGGCATGCATGCCGATGTTGATTATGCGCATGATACCTAGTGTTATTTCAAATTTAAACTAAAAAAATGCTGCAGGTTTTATGCTGCAAGATTATTTATAAAAACTTGTCTATTGTCACTGGATATTTAATAATTCTAATTATCATATATACATGCATTATATTTAATTAAAAGGAGCTCTTTTCTACTAATTATGCGGGATGTCTTGCATAAAATATTTTCACTATATTTATAAATGTAATCTACGAGCATCGAATAACACGATTAAGAGAAAGAATGAACATATGCACGAACCAAACTAACACGAATCGATGTCATTTCAAGAAACGAAGAAATTCACTTGCTTTTTGACGGAACGTCTGTCATGAGCGTTAATAATTCATAATCATCAGGGGTGCGATCTTTCGAAGGAGGAGCAAAATTTATTTCACGTCAAATCAATCATTCCAATTAGGTCGCGAAGTCGTATTCCAATGCCGTGACGAGGGTCTTCTACGTGCCAGAGTACGTTGGATTCGCGGCAATGGTCTTCCTCTACCACCTGGTAGTCGAGACATCAACGGTCGCCTGGAGATACCCAACATCCAGCTCGACCACGCTGGAATTTACACTTGCGAAGCCGTGGGTTATCCGCCGTCTACCTCGGGCCGTCAATTGAACGTCGTTCTCACCGTCGAGAAGTGTACGTTCTTTCTCCTCTTGTCTCTCTCAATTAAAATAAGGATTATTATTAACGAAAGGAAACTATTAATAAGTTCTCGACCGCTCTAATCGATCGAAGATTGACTAAATAATTAAATCGATCGATCCCGTGTACAGTTGAGCAACCGGCCACGAGATCACCTCAAGTGTGTCAATACGATCAGGCTACCTGCAGCAACGGAGATTGCATTCCCAAATCGTACGTTTGCGACGGCAAATTCGATTGCACCGATGGATCTGACGAGATGCGATGCAGTAAGTACTTTCCGGAGCGACGCCGCATCGGCCATTCATATTTTACGATACGAATTTCACGCGAGAACCGTCGCGCGTCCGTTTTCGACAGGTCCGCACGGATGCGAGCCCAACGAGTTCCGTTGCAATAATAAGCAATGCGTCAGCAAGTTGTGGCGTTGTGACGGCGACAAGGATTGCGCCGATGGCAGCGACGAGGAAAACTGCGCGCCGTCTCCCCCGGGATCTCCATGCCGTTACAACGAGTTTCCTTGCAGCAGCAACAAACAGTGTATCCCGAAGAGTTATCACTGCGACATGGAGCGGGACTGCTTGGACGGCAGCGACGAACTTGGATGCTGTCAGTATCGATGAGTATTTCGTAGAGCACAAGGCATCATTATTTCATCACCGAACTTTATATGGGATCAATTTGACGATCAAGAAGCTAACTTTCACGCATTTTTCAATTAATCATTCTGCGAAAAAAATCTTCGATATATCGAAGATCTAAAATACCATATGTTCTCACATATTTTATTTTAATGTGTCATTAACAATTATATTCGATAGATTGTCGCTTTCGTCGATCATTGTAATGTTACACCGAGCGATCTGTTCTTATCCAGCTCCCGTTTACATCGTGAAACCACCCCCGCCGATGGTCGTTCTCGAGCCAGGCGACGAATTACATCTCACTTGCACCGCTATCGGTGTCCCGATACCGGAAATCAACTGGCGACTCAACTGGGGACATATTCCCGCGAAATGTACGACCGTGTCCACTAATGGAACGGGCACCCTGACATGTCCGGACATACAAATTCAGGATCAGGGCGCGTATTCGTGCGAGGCGTTGAACGTCGGCGGTTTCGTCTTCGCCGTGCCGGACGCGATCGTCGTCGTGAAGGAGCCTCGCAACGTCTGTCCGAAGGGCAAGTTCAATTCCGAGGCAAAGGTCATCGACGAGTGCATCTCGTGCTTCTGCTTCGGCGTCGCCACTGAGTGTCGCAGCGCCGACCTCTTCACTTATCAGATTCCACCGCCCTTCGACCGCCACAAGATTGTGTCCGTTGAAACCTATCCGACGATTAAAATCCACGGCGATATCAGCAGCCAGATATCCCAGATGCGTCCGCTCGGCCGAGATGGCTTTCAGCTACTGGAATCTTCCAGCAACGAGCTGAACGTCTACAACGTTCCTTATTATGCGCTGCCGGAGAACTATCATGGTAGTCAATTGAAATCTTACGGTGGCTACTTGAAGTATTCGATCCGTCACAACGGCCATGGATCGCCGAACAGTGCACCTACCGTCATCTTGAGCGGTAATAATTACATTCTGCTGCACAGAGGTAACGTGCCGACGCCCGATTACGACACCGAAGCATCCGTCAGATTCTTCTATGGTGAATGGTACAAGCAACAAGGAAGAAGCGAAGTCCTGGCATCCAGAGAGGAGATCATGATGGCACTGGCAAACGTCGACAATATTCTTATAAAGTAGGCATTTTTGTGTCACGAATCTTTATTATAACGATTTTCTTCAACATATTTGGTGTATTTCAGAGTGAAATTCGACGACAGCTCGCCGCAGCTGGACGTTCGTCTCACCAACATCGTGGTGGATACCGCTGATGCGCGAAACACCGGTCTAGGATCCGCAATCTTTGTCGAGGAATGTCAATGTCCTACCGGTATATTTCTTTGAGCATTTATATTTTTGTTTATTAGAGAATAATGAAATTTTATTTCTTTTTTTTTTATTGCTCATTACTTTCGTCTTCAAGGATATACTGGTCTATCCTGCGAGCACTGCGCACCTGGTTATCTAAGACGAGAAAATGGACCGTGGCTCGGTCAGTGTTACAGAGACGAACCGCCGTGTCCTCCAGGATACTACGGCGACCCCTCAAGAAACATCCCTTGTCAGATTTGTCCTTGTCCACTTACCAATCCGTCAAATCAGTAAGATACCAATCAAATAAAATTTACATTACGTTATCGATTACCGCTTTGATTTTAATTCGCTTTCGCAATTCACAAAAAATAAAAAATAAATCACGAAAAATAGGTTTGCTCGCACGTGTCATCTTGGATCTGACGGGCAACCTACGTGCGATTGTCCTGCTGGCTACGTTGGACGCAGGTGCGAACAGTGTGCCGCCGGCTACCAAGGGAATCCCCTTATTCCTGGAGATATGTGCGTCCCTCTTCAACAATGCGATCCTAACGGCAGCCTTAGCCCTAACGCCGACCCACATACTGGAAAATGTCATTGCAAGGTACTACGCTGATCTCTTTATATGTATAATATTTTACAAAGTATCCCAATAACCACACATTTCTACTTAATTATACAATATCTTCTCTTAAAAAAGCTGATAAACTGTTTTATTAGCAAAATCTAAACGAGATTAATTATGCTACGTCTCAAACATTTTGTATCATATTTTTATTGTTGTTCTTGCATCCATTCGTGGATTTTTTAACTTTGAAAATGTAAGTATATTTACGCGATCCTTTTATATGCAAATATAAATCGATATTCGTGAAATAAATAAATTCTACATTGCGGTCAACAAGCACCGTCTATTCTATGATGTTTTCTCTTTCAGCAATATGCAACTGGTCTTACTTGCGATCAATGTAAGGCAAATACCTTTAATCTGGCCTCGACAAATCAATTTGGGTGCATATCTTGTTTCTGTATGGGTATTACAAACAGATGTGTCTCCTCTAACTGGTACAGAAATGAGGTACGATAAAGATATTGAAAAAGTTTGTTTTAATAAGAAAAATTGCATAAGTACGATTTTATGTTTTACATTTTTTTATGAAACAAATTCGCACAATTTGCATATCATTTTTAGAAATATAAATACTGGATAGAATTATAAAAATGATAGAATTATAAAAAATATAAATACTGCATAGAATTGTAAAAATTGAATCAATCATTTACGCATTTGTAGATTCGTGTATCGTTCACCAATTCGATTAGAGATTTCTCTTTGATCGAATCTAAGAGCACCGACGCACCAGCGATTGTAGAAGGAATTAATCTGAACACTATCAGCCGAGAAATAATTTACAGCGATTTTCCGAATCGTGGAAACAATGACGTTTATTATTGGCAATTACCCAGCATTTTCCTGGGAGATCAAATAACATCTTACGGAGGTAATCTCAAGTACACTGTCAGATACGTTCCTTCTCCGGGCGGTCAAAGTTCAAGAAATAATGCCGCGGACGTCGAACTTATCAGCGTGAGTGCATATTCGCAAATCTTAATCCGCGCATTCAAGGATAAAGATATAGCAGAAGGTAATATATATGTATATGCTTAATATATACAGGCTAACGATATCAACTTGCTCTATTACTCTCGTGAGTCTCCCGAGCCAAACTCCCAGCAATCGTTTACGGTACCGTTACTCGAGCAATATTGGCAACGCAATGATGGAACTCAAGCGGATAGAGAGCATCTTCTAATGGCTTTGGCAGACGTGCGAGCCATCAGAATCAAAGCCACCTACACGACGCACACAGACGAAGCTGCGTAAGTAAACTCTGCGTGCATCCTTAATAATATTGAATCTCATGTATATATTTTTCTAATAGTGAAATAACTTTAATTAATAAAATTTGTAAATAAAATCTAATTATCTGGGCTCTAATTAAAATATTTTGATACTATAAGAATGCTTGAAAAATATATAGATAAATTTTCCAGCATCTTAAAACAAAACTTGCGGAATTAATTAATATTTAATTAAATTAAAATTAAAAAGAAAAATAATCGGAAAAAATTTGAAGACAATTCCGTGATTTATCAATATACTTCAGGCTCTCCTTCGTGTCTTTGGACACTGCCGAAAAGTATAACACTGGTAAAGCACGTGCGGCCGAAGTTGAAGAATGTACGTGTCCCAACGGCTACAGAGGACTTTCCTGCGAGGATTGCGACGTTGGTTATACCAGAGCCATCGAAGGTCTTTATTTGGGTATCTGCGAACCTTGCAACTGCAATGGCCATTCAAACCAATGCGATCCTGAGACTGGCGTTTGCGAGGTAAACAAGTAATACAAGGAAGTTTAATAAAGCGATTTTACATTTTAATAATATATATATAATTAATTGTTCCATTACTTTGGATTAATTATTTTCTTGAAAATCAGAAAGCTCATTGAAATAAAAATATTGCTTCTCGATAATTGCGTCTGATTTAGATTTGATATTTTCTGTTAAGAAAATGTACCTTAATTTTTTCAGTGCTAAATTATAAAGCTGAAGAGAATATAAATATAATTAAAATTATATATTAGAATATATAGTAACATTAATATCTGCAGATTAAATTATTCGAAGTTAATACAAATTTTGACATTTTGTGTCAACAGAACTGTGCTGATCACACTACCGGCGATTATTGCGAGGTATGCGAAGGGGGATACGAAGGGGATGCTACCCGGGGTGCGCCAAACGATTGCACATACAGAAGCCCCAGACCCGAGCCATGCAGATGCAACGAGGCTGGTTCGCGCAGCACTTCGTGCGTTGACGGCATATGCGAGTGCAAAAGGAATGTCGAGGGTCCCGAATGTAATCGGTGCCGCCCGTCGACATACGGATTACATGCCGACAATATTGATGGATGCATCGAATGTTACTGTAGCGGGGTAACTGATCAATGTCACGAAAGCACATTGTATGTACAACAAATTCCGATGTGGGTATACGACTCGCACCACGGCTTCACTCTCACGGATTCGTAAGTATAAACACGCTTATGCAAATACAATCCTTTTTCATTATTATATATATATATATATATATATATATATATATATTTTTTTTTACACGTTCCTGAAGAGCTTTTTAATTTAGTACAAATAAATAATATAAACTTTATCAGTATATTTCTTTCTGATCAAGAAAATACGGTATAGTAAATAAAATAAAATTTGAATCTGAAAATGTAATACGACTCTCGGGCTTTTATGCAGGACTAGACGCGACATAATCGATGACGGTTTCGAGTTGAATGTGGCAATGAACGAAATCGGTTATCGCTATCCGGATAGTAGAAGTCGTAGATTGTTCTGGTCGCTGCCGAGTGTTTTCACCGGAAACAAAGTGAAGAGTTACGGTGGAAACTTGACTCTGACGCAGCATATCACTGCGTATCCTGGCGCTCAGAGTTATAAAGATCAAGATATTCTCTTGATCGGCAATGGCATCACATTGTTCTGGACAAATCCAACGGAGCTTCAACTCGATAATCCACTGGTACGTAAATTTACCCGACGTTTTGTAATTTTATCGATGATATTTTATTAATAAAATTTAATGGCAAAATATATTTTGAATCTTTAAGAATTCTTAAACATGTTTCCCATACAGTTTTCAAATAGAAAACTAATTTGCAACATTCTCCTCTCTTTGATTATCTGAATAATGCACCAAGTTTTATACGTATAATACAGAATAAATTCGAATATTTTACGATTATATGCGATCGAAGACAATATACAGGTATATATATATATATTTTTCAGACTTACTCCGTTCCATTGAAAGAACACGAATGGAAACGATTAACCACCGAAGGACCACGGAGCGCTTCCAGGACGGATCTCATGATCGTTCTCTCGAATCTGGAGGCTATCTTGGTCCGCGCATCCCACAGCGAGCGTATGACTGCAACATACATAAGTGACATCAGCTTGGATACAGCCGTGGAAAATCTAACCGGAAACCGACGAGCAACTCAAATCGAAGCCTGCCGCTGTCCGACTGGTTACACAGGAACTTCTTGCGAAATTTGCACACGCGGCTATTACAGAGATACCAGCGACCGATCCGTGAGTTATCTAGGCGCGTGCAATCTTTGTCCATGCAACAAGAATGAGGAGAGCTGCGAGATCAGCAGATCCGGTCAAGTCAAATGTCACTGCCTGCCAGGATACACCGGACAATATTGTCAAGACAATGTCGTCGGTAAGTAATAGCGTTTTCTTAAGCTTGAATTATCGTATAAAAAATAAAAAATTACCCCTCTTCATTATTTTATTTTTATCACGTTATTATTGCTTTAAAAATGAACATATAAAACGCGTAAAATAAATATTGTAATTATTTTTGATAAATCTTATCATATTATATCTATATAATTAGATTAAATTTCTAAACTTAAATTACTTTTAACAAGAAAAATTAAAATAATCGCGAGTCATCTTATATTTCAATAATTTTATGTGAATATAAGAGTAGAATTTTTTTATTTGGATTAATGAAGAGAAATAACTTGTTAAGTCTGTTTAAAAAATAATTAGTAATGAAACGTTGATCAGGTGAGCTCATGGTAAGCCTAATGCCTATGAAAGGCGAAGTTGAACCATACTCTACGATCCAATTTACGTGCAACTATGACTATCCAGACACATTTTACATCTATTTTAAATTATCGTCACTTAACGGGTTTCCCGTAACTGCGAGAACTAGCAAACCCGGATCTATAATCAAGACAGAAAAAGGAGCTGTCCGTAAATGGTTCGTCCACGTGGAACACACTGCTTGCAATGTCGAGTGTCACATCGTGACTTACCATGGCAAAGAATTAGTCAAGATCGTGACATCGATTACGCCAGGTTTGACGGACTACATAGCGAAAGCTTTCGTATCTTGTCCGTCCATCGATGATTTACAGCTCAATGAGAGTGCAAATCATCGCTTTGCAACTGCGTTGTTGCTCAAAATCATCGTAGATTACCATCGTAGATCGTCACCGAATCCGGTGAAGGAATTTCCTTGAATCTATAGTCCTTGTCATAGTTCTGTAGTTCTTCATAGAATTAGAATTTGCCGACAAAAGCTTAATTTGATCTTGGTATATGGTATCATGAACGTATTACGTGCTATACATATCGATGTATAAAATATATGCTTTCGTAGCAATTAATAACAAGTAATCATTCTTCGAAATAACATTATGATATTTTGTCAAAATGTGATGGTGTCATTTGTCTCTCTATGTCATGGAGAAATATTATACATTCACTACAATGTTATGTACATAAAATTGTAGATTTAATAATGTTCGTCTCTCTGTTATTATTCTTTATCTCGTATCATTTAAATGCATCGTGCTAAATTTGCTGCAATTTTATGTTTTTCTGAAATAATTCCATTTATCTTAGAATTAATTTTACTTTTATTTTTCTTAGTTGGAGAAACGCAACCAACTACTACACCTGGTTCAATACCTCCACCGAGGATTATAGTTTATGTTCAAGAACCAGAATTCCAGATTGTTCACACCGGAAACACTGTCAGATATCATTGCGCGGGCAGATCAAAGGATAGCGTAAGTCTTTCATTGATTCTTATTTTATTTTATTCTTTTTTTATTTTATTATTTATTAAATTTTTTTCTATTACGGAAAATAGGATTCGGTAAATATTAGATGGGAGAAAGAAGATGGTCAATTGCCACTTGATAGAAGCGTGGACGACTCGAATGGACTGTTAGTCATTAGAGACGTAAAAGTATCTGATAGCGGCATATACGTTTGTCAAGTGAGCGATGGAATAAACATCGGACGAAAGAAAGTCACTCTAACTGTTGGAGGTATAACGTAAAATGATTCAATTATATTACATATAGTTTTTCGAAATCGAGTTAAAGAAAGTATTTAAATTTTTAAATAAATTATAAAATATTAGATACTATTTAATTCTCATATATTCTCATATATTCTTATATTCTTTTGTATTGTACTAAATGCAGCATTTCCAAAACACTTGCTGGAAATACCAGGTACAAATCATAATTGTATTAAATTATTCATAAAACAGATTATAACTTTATATACATTTTATTTAAGGAGCTAATCCGGTGGAACCAAGAATTGCTATAACTCCACCGTATCAACAAGTGAGAGAAGGTGAACCAGTCGAATTCCGCTGCGAAGCTACTGGTAATCCGCCACCTCAATTAGATTGGATTCGAGTTCACGGAAGCATGAGTCCGGAAGCGACATTCTACAATGGTGTATGGAATCTTCCAGCCGCATCGAAGAACGATGCAACCGAGTATAAGTGCATTGCTAGAAACAGTGTTGGTATAGATGAGAAGACGACCATCTTGTATGTTCAAGGTACGATCTAATCATGCATTTCATACTTCAGAATATTGATGAATCTCAAGTTACCATGCATATTATGAAAATTATTAAATTGCTAGTACTCATGTAAAATTATTCCTGTAATTTTAATTATGGCTTTTACATTATTTTCGTGTAGACAATCCTAATAAGCCGCCATCTCAAAGTGTACCGCCAACCGTGACTCCATCCGAATGGTCCGGAACTATCAATGATGTTGTCAGATTAATTTGTACACCAACTCAGCATGCGAATGTCACTTGGACAAGATCCGGCGGATTACCGCTGCCTTATACAGCCAATCAACAGGGGGGAGTCTTAACCATCACCAATCCTAGTCCGAACGATTCCGGCATATACGTGTGTACTGCGACAAATCAATACGGAACAGAAACGAGCACCACCGCTAGGATAACGATAATTCCTCGTAGAGAGCTACCATCGATTAAAGTCAGACCCGAACGGCAAGAAGTGTCACAAGGCACGATTGCCGAGGTGCGTTGCATCACCAGTGGAGAACCAGGTGTACAGGTGAAATGGAGCAAGTACACAGAAACGATGAGTTCGCGCGTGCAACAAGTAGGAGACACACTTAGGATCGTTAACGCCCAGGTCGCCGATCGAGGGGTCTATATCTGCAGGGTTACTAGTTCAACAGGCAGTCACGAGGCCAGTGCCATCATCGAAGTTGAACGTAAGTTTCTATAGTATAAACCAATTAATTTGAGAAAGCGCTAAAGTCATAGAAAAAAATGTCCAATGAAAAACGAATTGTTTATTACAGCTCGCGAAGCTCCGGTCTTAGAACTGTATCCTCAAGACGTTCAAACGGTCATCCTTGGCGGCTCGGCCGATCTTCAATGTCGCGCAAAGGCTGGCTTCCCTGTGCCCGAGTTGCACTGGTCCCGTCAGGATGGTCGACCGTTCGCTTCCAATATCGAACAGCTTCCTGGCGGACTACTTCGACTGTCGAACATCACGGTGAACGACGACGGCGCCTATATCTGCTCCGCGTCGAACGAAGTCGGCTCGACATCGGTTATCGCGCACATCGAGGTCCAGTCTCTGCCTGTAATCACCATTACTCCGAAACACGGCATTTTACAAGTGAAACGCGGAAGTCAAGTCCGTTTAATGTGCAGCGCGAGTGGTTATCCGCAGCCTAACGTAGCTTGGAGCAAATACGTGCACGGAGTAACTATACAGTAAGTTGACTTTAACATTTTTATGCGATATTGTGAATTTAAAATGTTTTAAAATTGTCGTGTAGCTTGTGGATATATAATTAAGTTTTTATAATAATTTGTAAATTTTTATATTTTATCAAATGTATAATCTTGCAGCTCAAACAGCAACAAGTTTATAATGTTTAAAAATTAAATCTAAAAATTATACTTTGATTTTAACTGTGATTGCTATTAGAATGTTATATAAAATTTGAAAAACATTGTTATTTACAGTGACACATATAGCAAAACAGCGGCTACTCCACTGAGTGCTGTATATGAGATATTCTCCGTTTCACCCGACGACGAAGGATCTTACACTTGCCAGGCCACGAACGCCGTAGGAATAGCCGAAGAGCGTATTCAAATACGCATCGAGGATGACGATGATGTTCCTTGCACTGGCGATAGAGGCGATATTCCATGCGATGATCGACAACAGCCTGATAATGTGCGTATTCTACGCACATCTTCAGTCTCGATACTCTAATAATATTTTTTAATCGCTTTTAATGTTGAAACATATTTTACAGAGAGAACCGAATCAACAAGGAGTGTTAATTCCCAAAGATTATTTGAGAATCCCGAACGGTGGTAAGGTGGAAATGCGTTGTCAGGTCTTCGGACCCGATGGAGATCACATCTATCTGGACTGGAAGAGGAGCGATCATCGTTCCCTACCGGAAGGCAGCACGGTGCATAATGGAGTATTAAGCATTCCGACTGTTGACAGAAACGCAGCCGGAGAATATATCTGTTTAGGCTTGGATCCCGCCGGTACCGTGCTCTTCAGGGCGAAATCCCATCTTGAAATTATATGTAAGTATAAAAAATATATCGCATTAATATAAATATAAATTATAGGATTTGAATTTCTAAAATAAATGAATCTACAATATAAAAAGCTTATTATTCTAAATTTTTGTGTATTTTATAAATTCAAAATTAATGAATTAATTCAAACAATTATTTATTTCGTTCAATTTCTTCTAGCTCCGCCAAGAATCGAATTGAATCCCACGCGTCAGACAGTGGGACCCGGAGAAAATCCATCCATCATTTGCACCGCCACAGGAGACGAACCTTTGCATATAGAATGGGATGCTATAGGACGCCCGTTACCGTATTCGGTATCGCAAAGCCGTGGTATCCTCCAATTCCACGGTATCACCTATTCCGATGCCGGCAAATACGTGTGCAAAGCGACGAATGGAGCAGGAACAGCGGAGGCGGTAGCTGAAGTTTTAGTCAATGGTCAGTAGAAAATAATTAGAATCAGTTAATATATTTAAACCTAGTATAGTATATGAAGAAATATTATGCATTTATTAAATATTTAAAAATTGTTCGAAAAAAAGCAATCTTATACATTATAAATTGTTTACGCAATTTGCAGAACATTCTTACGATGACTCAGAAGTTCGTGCTGAACAAAGAGACGTGGTGACACATGCTGGCAATTCTGTACGTTTACGTTGCGTGGTCCGCGACCGTGCGATAATTCATTGGAGTCGAGAGGGACAAACCTTGCCGAGCACCGCGCAATTCGGAGAAGATTACTTGGAGTTGACGCAAGTGAAACCGGAAGATAGTGGAAGATACATTTGTCAAGCCCAGACCAGTCGTGGTGTATCCAGTGATTATATTAATTTCAACGTATCTCGTAAGTTTCATTCTGTTTCTCATTATAAACTCTGTTGTTTCAGCGTCACAGATCCTTGCTTCTATTTGAATGCATCTATCAAAGATCAAAATGCACTTCATATTTATGCTAAAGAATGTTTTGCCTGTTAAGAAATCTTTATTTTGCCTTTAATCTTTCGGGATTTTGTAATAGAAAAAAATCTTAGCAAACACATTTTTTGAATCGTAATCCTGAAATGATTAAAATCACAAATTGCTTATTTTTACAAGATATTTTCTTTGCTATTTCTGCGTGATTTTTCAACAATAGTATATTTGATTTTTTAGTGACATTTTTCAATATTTTAAATGGACTATTTAAACTATTTAAAGATTTCAATTTCTCGTTTAATATGCAACCGGCTCTCTACTTTCACGTTTATCTTAATGAAAAAAATACAATTAGCAGAGAATTACAGAAAATTTAAATAGTAAATAATAATATGTATATTTTTCTATATGTATAATCACGGGTTATATATTAAAAAAATCTTCTACTTTATATACAATATATAATAATTCAAAGCATCGCTCATATAATTAACAAGCGCATATCAGATTGTTCCCAAACAATATAATTGGCAAAATATGTTTAAAGAATGTTTAAAAAGATGATCCTTTAAATGCTCTTTGAATTTTTGAATTATTTGGGCTATATTAATAATGAGATAGCACATATGGTAGAGTAAACGTGGTTCCACGAGAACGTCTTTACAAGTTTAGGTTTTTTTATAAGGCTCGCGTTATGATTTAGTTGTTAATTTGCTTGCGGATTGCATGCCAGTGTACCGATCGCAGTGCAGGCATTGGGAGTATGAATGCAGAAGTCTACAATGCATTCCAATGGAATACTTTTGCGACGGCTATGTTCAGTGCAACGATGGTACTGACGAACGCTTCTGTCGCAACGTGCGCTATCGCCAATATCTTCAAAGACGACGCGGTTTGTTTTGAGATATATGTGTCATGTGACGTCTTGTAGTTCTTCTACTTGTAGTGAACTGTTCTTTATATTCTTGCTTAATGTACAAAACTACAAGGAAATGATACGAATTAAAATATACCCCGTACGCAAAAAAAAAAAACTATAAGAATACAAAAAAATTACTGATATAATAATAGTTCTTCAATAATTATATTATTGGTATACTAGTATTTTTTTCGTATTCTTACAGTTCTTTTTTGTAAGGAACTTTTGGCTATAGTCAAAAGATTTAGTAATTATTATCAAGTATGGTAATAATTATCAAATATTCAATTTAAATTTACAACTAAATATATTTGATAACTATTACCAATAAATTTTTTCACTATAGTGATCGAAATTTAAATAACAGATAAGATATAAGTACAATAAAATATTAAAATATGTATGTATGTGTTTTATACAAGTTCTGGTCAGTCATTTTTTTTTATTCAATTATGCCAAAGGTATTATATGCAATGCGTATCTCATCCTTGTCAGTGCTAAAAATTTACTTATAAATAAATGTTAAGTTTCTATACTTTAGATTTTATAGTTGATATTATCATGTTATTATCTGTGACTCGATATTTCTTAAAGAAATCATTTTGAATAGTTTGTGTAATATTTTTTTGCTCTTTATTGTTACTTTAACAAGAAATAATTTATTTTACTGAGAACAACGAAAACGCGCCATTCCTTGGTTTTATATTAACATTTAATACTTTAGAACTTATTAAAAATACATTACTTATATATTTCAATAGTACAAAAAACTTGAAAAAACACACGACAAAAAGTAAGTTATAGGAGTAAATTCTATGATTAGAAAAAATTAATTATCACTGTTAAACATTAAAACATAAGGAATTTGCTCTTCCAAAGAGTTCTGATAACTGAAATAATTAGAAAATTTATTTAAACAATTATTTTATCGAAAATGGTACTGGTATTTTCGAGATTATTGTGAGCTATTGTTTGTATTACGACAGTTTTGCTTTTTATTAAACAATTCTCGCGTATTTCTGGACATGTATTGTACAATGCTCTTTCAAAGAGTTCTAATAATGGGGAGCCTATCAGCATTACGGAAAAGAGGCAAGAATACTTCGAGACTTTCGAGATTCGACTTAATATGGCTTTTTTTATAAGGGAGGAATGTAAATTTTCTTATTTCTTTTTATTTATGTATTTTTTTAATATTGAATAATATGAAAAGTTTAGAAACGTAGATATAAAATAAAAAAATACAGCAAACAAATCTCGTAATTTATTTTAAACATCGATCACATACAAAATTGTCATTTATTTGTTTTTTAAGACACAGTAATATCCGCTGTGTAAAAAACAAAGTATGTAGACAATTTTTCTGATTTTACAATTAATCGTAACGTGTAGCCAAAATATTTATTTCTTTTCTAGCTACTACCGTGCCTTCAATAAGTGTCGAGGCTTCTCAAGACCCAGTAAACATCGGTGACACAGTTGATATACATTGCACATCCACTGGACGAAGCCCACGTTATCACTGGTCAAGACCAAATCATGTGAGCCTACCAACAAACGCCCAAGAATACGGTTCTGTTCTGAGGCTGACTAATGTAGCTGTCAGCGATAGTGGATCCTACAGATGCATAGTAAACACGCCCGAGGGTACATTCGAAAAGGACTTCAATTTGATTGTCCATGGTAATTATTAATAAATATGTACGACAACAATATACATATGTACGGAACAAATACGACAATAATAGAATATTTAACATATTATATATATTTTTTTTAACATATATCTGTTAATACTATCTATTATATTAACGTTATATCTATTAATCTAATTAATGTTATCTATTTTTTTCCTATGCTTACTAAAATTTTACGTATGCTTCACGTAAGTAAATTGATAAAAATAGCGGTTTTATTGCGAATATCTCGCTGTGAACAAGGATTTTTCTAATTCTCCATTATTATACTCACAATCAGGTGGAATTCATGATGAACCAGCGATTGAAACGAAATTTGCACCGTACGGGTCGAGCTTAGAAATGGATTGTCGTATCGATCTCGATCCACCGATACAATATCACTGGAACAAACTTAATGGATTTTTACCACGTGATAACCAAATTTTGGAGGTATGCAATATATATATATATATATATATATATATATATTATATATATAAAAATATACCTCTGGAATCTAGTTAAATCTTAAACGAATTCTGAATCAATAATAAATAAATATATATTAGCAAAGAAAAATATATATATCTTGCAAAAATTATTGTGATATGTATTTCATGTATTTTTTATTTTATGTAGAACAAATTAAAGCTGACTAACGTAAAGGCTGAAGATGCTGGAACATATATTTGCGTTGGATATAACGGACAAGCGCAAGTAGAAGTTCCTACGGTGCTGGTCGTAACAGGAGTAGTGCCTAATTTTAGTCAGGCACCTGAAAGCTACATCGCTCTTCCGCCTTTATCCGACTCTATCTTAAATTTAATATCGAAATCTCCTTTAAACCAGAAAGTTATGACGGCATCCTATTATACAACGACGAGTCCAGTCAACAAAGGACCAACGACAGTGACTACATTGCTTTATCTCTAATTAACGGATATCCGCAATTTAAGTAAATAAAAAATTTTATAATATACATACATATATAGAGAACATTCATAAGTTATTATATTATTAGTATATATTTTAATTATCAAATTTTTTTGACGAGTATAAAATTTACCTAAATAAAATTTAGCTCAGTTAAATAATTATTTAATAAAAAAATAATTTTTAGAATATATTTTTTAGAATATATTTTTTGGAATAATTAAATTTTAGACTAATTCTAGAAATAATTTAAAACTTGAACGTTAAAAATTGAACATTGCTTTCCAATTATATGGATAGAAACTGTTTTAAATTTGATATATACTAATTTCGATATACACATGTGTATATATATATATATATATATATATATATATATATATATATGTACATTGAATGTCTTGATAGATTCAATCTCGGATCCGGAGCAGCTATTGTTCACACGGATAAACCTCTTACCCTGAGCGACTGGCATACCATTAAGATCCAACGCAATCGAAAAGAAGCAACAATGGTGGTAGACGGCGAGAGCACTTACAAGGTGGTCGCAGAAGGCAGACGTCAAGGACTGGATCTCAAAGACCCCCTGTACATCGGCGGACTACCTAATACTTTGAGCTACAGTAAGATCAACGAACAACTCGAAGTAACAACGGGTTTCGTCGGATGCATCAGCCGATTAGTTCTCGGAGAGAAGCAGGTTGATCTGATCGGCGATCAAACGGAGAGTGTGGGAATCACGAGCTGCGAGACTTGCGCCGAAAATCCTTGTTCCAACGGCGGTGTATGTCAGGAAACGACCACGAAGAACGGCTATACATGCCTGTGTCGAACTGGTTTCGGCGGCAAACACTGCGATTACGCCGGACAATCCTGTTATCCAGGTATAAAAGTTAATTTGATTTGTTAATTAATTTATATATACACTCACTCCAAAAACAAGCGGTACACTTAAAATTTGGAAAAATCAAATTTTAAACGACGATAACTTTGTATATAATAAATAATAATAAAGTAAAATAGTAATAATAAATAAGTGTATATTTAACTTGTTTGTTAAGTTATATACATATTACGTTTTATTTAATTGAAGCTATAAAGTAGTACATAACAAAAAAATCGTATAATTTATTATTAACTATAATAAGTAATTTTTTCATCATAATTAATTATATAACAATTGCATATCGTTTAAATATCAATTAATCGATTTGTTATAATAACAGAAATATTTAGTGTTTTACTGTTTCCAAATTTATACATGTGTCTGACATTTTTAAACAATACTTACAGTAAACAAATTGTGTAATAATAGGTGCATGCGGAGAAGGTAAATGCGTCGACAAGAATATGGGCTTCGATTGTTATTGTCCGATCGGAAAGACAGGATCACGATGCGAGCATTCGGTGAACATTCACGATCCAGCTTTTCATGACGACAGAGCTTTTCTTGCGTACCAAACTCCAAAAGCTTATAGAAAGTGAGTACACTCATTCTATTGAACGCACGTGCACGCATTACTTTTTAATAAATCACTTTTGATCGATGTTACAAGCGCCCAGGATTGAACATATTGTCATGGTGATTGCATCTTATGTATTTCGTACTTTGAGTTTCTTTAAATAAAATTATTTGCATATAGCTTGCATACAACAAAAATGAGAGGATTAAGAAAAATTAATAGGACATATCTTGTAAAATTAATTTTTCAAAATTAATAAATAAATTTCTTAGTTTTAAAATTTGCAAAATACTAAATTATTGTTATACACTTAAAAATAAATTATTGTTATACAATAAAAATAAATTTTACATAAATAAATATTTCTCGTATTATTCTGAAATTGTAATATTCCGAAATAAAACACACAGAAAGTCCTGTCTAGACAACAATCATAATACATATTATTTTCTATAAATGAATCTTTACACTTTTGACAAACTAACAGATTCGACTATAATTGGAATATAGGTACTAATCTCATTGTCAGTGCACATTTGAACCTCATCAAGCATCCTAATTACTAAAATTCTTTTCAGGGAAAGAGAGAGTTCGACCACTACACACAGTCGATCACGATTACGCAACGCACAAATTAGGCAACCACGATCAAGGCCACATCACCACAATAATTTGCACCACACAAAACATTAGCTAAACTTAGCACCAATTTTACGCACTTAGAAAATCATTACTTATCCAATCTCACAGTAGTAATCTACTTCCGTAGATCTAATCAACCTCCATAATACATATGAGCTATTTAAATTTATTAAGATATGTTTACGTCTGTCCGAGAAGATTTAAGTTTGACTTATTTGCAATTTATCACTGCCTGTTTTTTTTGTTTGATATATATAGTGGCAATATAAAGATAAAGCAATATGAGTTCTTAACAGATATTTTGCAACAAGCCTGCCTTAGTGCGTAGTTCCTTATGGACGTTATGGTGCTATAATGTTAGAACATCAGTCAATTGAATTAGTAATTAATGTTTTGTACAGCTTTTTAATTAATACACTTAACGCGTCACTCTGTTTAGTCATTATTAATTATTAAAAATAATATGCGCGCGTGAAGTCACTGCCAAATCCGTTGCATTTAACAACAGTCCCAACTCAAGCTTAGAGAAAACGTCAAAGTTGTAATATTCATATACGTGTATATGACAGTTATATATGACAGCATATGTAAAATGTTTATACTTATTGTCTAAGATTCTATATATATATAATATAAATATTAAAAAAAGAGATGTTTCACATCGACCATTTATATATTTAGCGAGGGGGGACTATATCATGCTATACAAATAAATATATTTAAAGAAAATGCTTTAAAGAAACGCTTTATTTTAAATGAAGCAAATAAATATTTTTAAAACAAATTTAATGTAATAAGTCATACATTTTAGCTTAAGAGGACAATATTTTATTTAATTTCATCATTTTTGTATATTTAAAATGACAAAAAGGTAAGTTTTAAGACAGATACATTATTTATTTATATAACATACACATCTATTTTTGACAAAATGTGTTGTTTAGTATGAGCTTAGTAATGAGTTGTTTAGCATATTTTCATATGTGTAATACATGTGTGTGTATACGTAAATCCTTCTCCTCTCTCTTCCTCATTTAATATTCTTATAATTAATAATTTTAAAAATAATAATAATAATTTGTCCAATATAATAAATATACATTACTTGCATGTACCATCCATATGCCACTTATCAAAGGACAAGTTATAACAATTTTTTGCTTCATTATATATTAATTTATTAATATATTAATCATAAATTAATTTTAATTAACATTTTCTATAAAAAAAGAAAAAGACAAGAAAACAGGCTATTTATATAAATATATTTTACGCAATATATAAACAAAACTAAAATTAAAGTGTGCAATTAGTATGTGCCCCGTGAGTTTTTATAATAAAAATAAGCATACATATTTTTTAAAATTCAATAGCGGTGGATTCTGGCATTGGTACTTAAAGAAAATGAAAAAAAAAAGAGATTTTGGATCTATATATTATTTTTATGTATATATACATGTATATATATATATATATATATATATATATATATATATATATATAAACATATCTTTCTGATTTTGTTTAATCTAATTGAATATAATTGCACGCGTAAAGTTATATTATTCTTTGATAATAAAATATTAAAAATTGCAATACACATGTATACAAATACATTAATTAATTATATATAATGCATAAAAATTCAATATTTAAATCTTTAACAGAATATACGAACAAAGAAATAAAATTTTCTAGAGGAATCTTTTGTAATCAAATATCTACGTTTTCATTAGACTTGCGCGAAACTCTATACCCCATATATCTGTCACGCTGCGCGGCTCGCGCGAGACTGATCGTCGTGCGAGGCATCGCGAACGCGGGACTGATGGTCACATGACCAGTGGTCACGTGACGACCACTGGTCATGTGACTACTGGTCATGTGACCATCGGTCCCGCGTTCGCGATACCTCGCACGAGAATCAGTCTCGCGCGAGCCGCGCAGCGTGACAGATATATGGGGTGTAGAGTTTCGCGCGATTCTAATGAAAGCGTAGATATTTGTAGATTACAAAAGATTTCTTTATATAGAAAATTTTATTTCTTTGTTCGTATATTCTGTTAAAGATTTAAATATAGAATTTTTATGCATTATATATAATTAATTAATGTATTTGTATACATGTGTATTGCAATTTTTAATATTTTATTTTCAAAGAATAATATAACTTTACGCGTGCAATTATATTCAATTAAATTAAACAAAATCAGAAAAAAATATATATATATTATATACATGTAGACATGCATAAAAATAATACAGATCCAAAATCTTTTTTCTTTGGATTAAAATACCTACACTTCCATTAGACTCGAACGATAGTAGCCGAGTTTGGTGAAGACTACTTAACTAAAATCTTTTCTTTGCTCTTTAAATACCAAATGTCAGAACTTATTGTAAGTTTTAAAAATTGCAATATGTATGTGTGTATATGTGTATATAGGGTAATTTTTATTTATTCTTGATTCAAATTTTTTTTCGAATTTTTTTGCACTTTCCAAAACGTTTTCAATCCATAAAAAATAATCCCTGCAAATTTTAGCTTGATCGGACAACGGAAACTCATGTTCTCGGCTTGTTAAACATTGGAGTACTCTTGTATTAAATTTTCTACATTGGTTTTTAAAATTTTCAACAAAAATCAGCTTATATAGAGGACTTTTTTTAACATGTGTATCTTGTTTATCTGCATTGTTTGAGAGCTTAATTTAATACAAAGATACTCAAATGTTTAACGAACCGGTTGCACAAATTTCCGTTGTCCAACCGAACTAAAATTTTATTACAGGGATTATTTTTTATGAATTGAAAACATTCTGATATCGTTTTCGATTCTGATGTCGTAAAAAAAATTTGAAAAAAATTTTAGTAGTCAAAGTTAAGATAAATAAGGATCACCTTAATATATATATATATATATATTGCTTAAAGTCTTTTCTATAGATGTATACAAATTCTTTTACATTCTCAATACTTAATTTTAGGCTTAAGGTAGCCATGAGTTTTAATCCTACGGACTCCGGGGATGGAATCTTGATGTATTGTTCTCAAGATGATGAAGGCCGCGGAGATTTTGCAGCGCTCATAATAAAAGACAAACACATCGAATTTCGTTACGATATCGGCTCCGGAATGGCAACGATAAGATCACCTTATGCAATCCAACCTGGTGTATGGACATATGTAACATTGAATCGAGACTACAAGGCAGCTAAAATGTCAGTGAATGGCGAGCCATTTTTGGAAGCTAAATCACCTGGAGCTGAGAGAACCATGGTATTAAATACACTTCTTTACATCGGAGGAGTGGATCGCAGTAAAATTATGATCAATACGGATGTGGGTGTCGATCGTAGTTTTCGTGGATGTATAAGCGAGGTAAGAATATTATTAATTATATAAAATAACGATATATACAGTTTTATATTTATTTATTATAACTAGCATAGTCATTTTGCTAATAAATTGAAAAATTTATAGAGCTAATTCTCTAGTGGAAACGAAATAAAGTCTCTTCTTAATTTTTAATCATCTTTAACTATAAATCAAAGTAAAATTTTGTAATATATTTTAAAATGAAATTATTTATGGAGATATATAGTTATAATATATAATATTCTCTTCATTTTTAACATACATATTTTTTCTAATTTGTTATGATATATATAGCTCGAAGTAGCGTCAGTCGGTTTGAACATATTGAATTCATCGATTGCCTCAGCTTATATCGAAAACTGTTCGATGTCTCATCTGAATCGAGCAATAATGCATACTACTATTACAACTTCGACATCCATTCAGCCGCCAACGTTGTACGATCCTTGCGCATGGAATCCTTGCATTAATGGTATATGTCAAAGTATGCACGATGATTATTCGTGTACATGCGAATATGGATATGTGGGCAGAAACTGTGAGAATGTATTGAAGCAGTGCGAATTACTTACGCCGTGTAGAAACGGGGGTACTTGCACCGATTTTAGCGGATCTTACAAATGCGATTGTCGTCTCGGTTATAATGGACAAGATTGTGAAAAATGTAAGTAAGATTATAAATATAAATTAAAATCTCAACTACAATTTTATCGGAATTACAAGTTTTTTAAAAATAGGTATAATGTAAAATGTAAATAAAGAACGAAAATTATTTTTTGCAAGATTATAATTAAATCAATTTATAGACATTTTACAAAAAATACTATAAAATAAAAGTTTTTATTTAAAATCACATGATTATATCTTTGTAGCGGCAGAGATCACGTACGATGTTGCTTTCAAAGGAAATGGTTGGTTGGAACTTGACAGATCTGTTATGATGCATGAAGAAGAACGTGAAGTTGTGGGTCTTGAAATCAGTACAAATAAGAGCAACGGACTGATTATGTGGCATGGTCAAACCATGAATGATCTAACACCCGATGATTACATCGCTGTTGCTGTAGTAGATGGGTATATACAACATAAAATAACTAATGTTTATGTAAAATTAGAAATAAGAGATCTTTTTCGATTTAAATATATACACTGCTCAAAATAATTAAGAGATTAAAAAATTCTCCAAAAAATAAGCAAATTTTAAATGGCTTTGTTTCGAAAAACAATAATTAAAATTTTAAAAAAGGATTTTAAAGCTTGAAATCTCTACTTTTGAAAGGTCATAGCTTTTTCATTTTTCTTTTGAAAATAGAGATTTCAAGCTTTAAAATCTTTTTTTTAAATTTAAATTTTCATTTTTTGAAACAAAGTTGCAACTATTTAAAATTTGCATATTTTGAACAATTTTTTATTCCTTAATTATTTTGAGAAGTGTATTTATATTTATTTTTTTCGAAATCATAATATTTGCGATGCTCTAGTTTTAAGATATTGATAAATCTTGCAAGATTATCCCTTTGAATACGTTTTTGGTATACACGTACTTTGTTTTACCTAGATATGTGGAGTATCAATACAATTTAGGCTCCGGTCCCGCTATAATTCGCGTTACTGCTCAGCGGGTCGATGACGGAGGACGACATAGAATAATCCTGAAACGTCAAGGAAGTGATGGTAGCATCGAACTGAACGGCGAACATACCGAGAGTGGTGTAAGCGATGGACTTCAACAGATCCTGAACGCGAGAGGTAGCGTTTATTTGGGTGGACTGCCGGATTATGCGATGACTTACGGAAGGTACCATGATGGATTTTCCGGTTGCATTTACACTCTAGAGGTACAGGACTCAGGGGCTATCCATATCGGTGAAAAAGCTATCAGAGGAGTAAACGTGTCGCCATGTACCAAGTAAGATGTAAAAAGATATCTTCTACCATAAAGAAAATAGAAAAAAAATAAGTTTCTCATTAATTAAATATTTGGATCAATAAATGACGTAAAATTCAGTATTTAAGATAAAATTTTATTCAAGATGTGACTAATCTTGTTGAATATTATTTTTGCACGCCGCTCATAGAGTAAGATGGATTCCATCTTCACTAGTATTCACAGACGCGGACCCAGATGTATTTGATGCATTTGTCCCACCGCCACCAGTGAATATTATTCATCCAAAACCCGCGTCCAATTTGGCCGCGTGCGACTTGACGAGTTACTCATTGTTAATTATACTTCAGAATTTGATCGCGTTGACTAGGGATATTAAGGAACAAAGTGTACTTTTCACGCTATTATGCGTAGACGCAATTAACGTTTTCAAGGGCTTATTATAAGCTAAATAATAGAATATTATGTATAATGTTACATAATATTCTTGTTTGGAAATACGCGTTTCTCTTTAGACCAAGAACGGCGATTGTGTTAAATTAAACACTAATGTATAATATTTTAAAAAACATGTATTTCCAATTTGCATACGATATATATCTAATAAATTTGTAAATTGTTTAATGCTTAACCAATATATCGGAATACTGTGACGAAAAACTACGGTATGTCCCTTTCTAGCATTTCTGTCTTTCTTTCATCTTGAATTATAATATATTTAATATTAATTTATTTATAATATTAATTTATTTATACGATTAATGAAACATGTTTTTATTTTGCAGTGATCGAACTGATAAATTTTCAACACGTGATGACTTCGGCTAAGAAAACGATCTGCATCTAGGAAACGTATTTGCAAGTTTGTATTGTTATAGAAGCGATAATACAGTGATGTAAATATCGAATCTAAAGCCAAAAATGTAGACTTTAAATTTTTCATACATATCTAATGTTTTGAAGAGAACATTACAAGATAGAGGATCAAAAGCAAATCTGATATGATAACTAATCAAACATTGTCAGAATATTGTAAAGATGACTCTTTTCGATTATGATAAAAGTATAATTTTGTGCATGGGACATCCTGCTTGTACACAAAAATCGAAAAGTAAAACACATATTTAACACATATTGTACAAAATACATGTATTTCTTTAACTCGGTTTATTGTAAACGATTTTTAGTGAGAACATGAAAAATACGAAACTGTGAATGTTATTAAACGAGCAACAAAACAATTTTATATTCATAGACATACAAGAATCTATCTTGTATTAATATATCACTATCAATATTTTATAATTAAGATAACTATAACGTTTTATACTGCTTTATTTATATAAAAAGATTGAAACATGCAATTTGCGAATAATAAATTGTTATTTTAAAAAAGCGACAGAAAATTTATGCATTAGGAAATCTCATTTTCAAATCAATTATAATGTAAATATAAAAAAATTAATTTTTGGAACTTTCACTTCTTATGTTTTAACATTTCTTTTTATGTTTCATGTTAATTATTTTTGTTTTATTTTTTTGCGAATCAGCTAATGAATAATTACAAATAGCTGATGCAGTGACTGATGAAACGAAAATGTGTTGCAATGATAAAGTGTACAGTCTATAATTTTTCACTGCCATGTACTAATTTATTCATATTCGCGTAATATGATAAAGCAAATTTGCGTCAAATAAGATAAATATTATTCACTAGAGTATGAGTGTAATCAAAGTTTTAATAAGACTTTGAGATTATATCTCCCATTACCGAAAAGACAATAAATTCTTATCACAGCCAAAGTTATTTCGTTGGGATAACAAAAAACGACTTTTTCTATATGGTACTATATAGATATCGAATTTTTACAGAAAAGTTGAAGAATGCGCAGATTTATATATTTATAACATAAAACATTACGGACATTATCTTTCATTGAATATTAGAAATTGTCGTGAAAAATAAGATCCGTGAAATAAGAGATAGAAAATATATCAATAATCAAATAAAAAATTGATGAGCATTGAGTATCTAAATTCAGATTGCACTCATACCATGATGAATACTTATGAGTTATCGTACACATATATGTAGGTGCTTATACATGTGATTTTTAATGCAATAGGCAAATAATCAAGAATATTTAATAGGTAATGAATAAATAACAGCATCGAACGCGCGTACTTTTGTATTAAAAGGTTTAAGGGTAGGTTTAAGATTTAAAGGTATCAGTTTACGTGATATATAAACGAAGAAAGTTACATATATAAGAGGAAGAATCGCGATAGATAGATAAGAATGACGTAGGTAAAAAAATTATGTGTTGCTACATATATAAAATTTATATCGAATAAATTATGAGACAAAAATTACACGCATCGTGCGGATAATTAGCGGTCTCTAATATTCTCTATATTCAAGATTTTATGAAAGTAAAACGTACAATTTGAAAGTAATAATAATTATTGTTTGCGTACACAGGCGTTAAGACCGTATCTACGCAATTAAAATATCAATTAAAGTGTAATATTCATCATAAATACTTTTATTGTATTGTACAAATTTTTTATTCTACTTGCATACGTTAAACAAAAAATGCGATTAATTTAAATCTTTCTAAATCACTTAATCATACTTATAATTAGATGGAATATTTATAGATGGAACATTTTTATATTGATACATTTATCGCGTAATTAATTGCTAATTTAAAATACATTTTCCATGCGCGCAATATAATTGCATATCTATTTTACAAGTTTATACGATAAAATAGGATATATATACACATATTCTCCTAATGTATATAATTATTAAAAATACGAAAGAGACCTCCATAATGCATATTGAATATACCTTTTTTCTTTTTTAAACATATAATCATCAAAAAATATTGTCTAATTTATGCAAGTAATGCGTTATATTTTTTTACGATCTTCGTATGTAAAATATATATTGCAGTACGCTTATTATTAATATTCAACATTGCATTTATGTATCTTTTATGCAAATGCGAAATATATCAAATTAACCAAGTAATTAAAAATATCGTACGTAATGTGCAACAAGAAATATAATTGAACAATATTCTGTAGATTTGTCTTTAGAGAATTATTTAAAAAACGAGATACCGAAATATATAATATGTATCATATAGTTCCCGAAGTTTTCTACGTCCACAACGATTCTATTATAACACAATGTAAATGATCATGTACAGAATAACCCGAGATACTGTATATTACTATATATTCTAACACTTTGCATATATAACTGATGCATATACTTGTATATTATTATAACTCCTTAATTATATTCTGACATCGAATGAACGCTTTTGGATGTTCATGCAAATATTAGTAATGCTGTAATATGTATATTGCATTTTATATGTACAGGGTGCAAAATGAGACAAATATTCCGGTCTGAAATGCCTTCTTTACATTTGCGGCGTTCGGGTATGAATAATATCAATGATATCCTAATTAGAACATCTCAATTAGGAACGATATTTCAGGTGGTAATAGCTAGTATTGCATCACCCTGTATATAAAATCATATTGAAAGTATTTACCGTATAATAATATAAATGTAATCTATTGTTATATAATAATTCTTCAAAGAAAATGAGACAATAAATATAATTTTGCTAACAAATTGTGTACTTTCGTTAATATTTATCACGAATATTTTCATTATAATATTATCATAAGTGTTTTAATGGCATTATAAATGTTCATACTCATGAAACTTCTAATTTCTAATTTGTATGTCAGATTTATTCTTAAACATTTTCCAAATAAAAAACAACAGGATATACACAATAAGAAGATTACAAAAATTTATTTATATAATTATTCACAACATTTATACACTGCTGTTTTGTACTAGTTATACACCTGTTATAATTATTTAGTTGTTAACAATTAATATATTAAACTTGAGCGTATTTTACATGGATAAGTACATTTTCAAGTGTAAATCTTACGACTAGACAAAGAAATATGTGAATTTGAAAATATAAGTAATCACATATCACAAATAAATTATTTGTTATATAACAATAAAAATTAAAACAAAAATAAATTATAATAATTAGCTATTATAATTTATTTATTATATATTATTTGTGTGTGTTTGTGTGTGTAAAAAAATAAAAAATGTCTAAGTTTTAATAATTATAATAAATTATTCCCATCAATTCTCTTACAAATATATAAATATTTTTTTTCTATATGTTATAACAAACTTATGAAAATGAAATTATACCAAGGTAGGATGCTATGAACTAATTTTATATCCAGATATAAATGGAAGTCCTGTACCTACTTTTTCTTGATATTTAACATAATCTTCCGCAAAGAAACTTAATAATGTTATTTCTTCGATCATAACACGTTCATGGAAAAATCTCCATGACATCAATGCATATGCACAGAAACAGAGTGGATTTTGAAGTATTAACTGAAATAAAGATTTATAAAACATTAACTAATAATGTAATTAAAAAGTATAGAATTAAATACTATGAAAATTATGATGCTTCACCTGTGTTCCTATGGACCAATAAAACCACCCTACATAACTAGGATGTCTGCACAAACTATATACACCATGTGTAACAAGTTGGTGATTGTCACTTTTCTCACTTTGCACAATATGATTAAAATTGTGCTTTGCAGTACACATTGCTAATTTTCTCAGAATTTCACCAGAGATGCATAATATTAATCCAAAATAGGATACCAGAGAAGGTAGTTTCAAATCATGAAAATAATGTCTCTCTATGAAAAATTCTATCCAACTGAGACTTGCTGCTATACCATATGCTATGCTATGATTGAGAATAAAATTGTCGATTGACAATACTGCCGGATTTGTCCATGCTATAGCTAAAAATTCCGAATAATGGAAGCTTGCTAATATTGTCATGTAAATTCCAAATATTTGCCATGATGGTGGGGCAGTAATTGATATTAAAATACCAATTCCAAATATGTATCCAAGAAACAATGCTCTGATTGCCACCTGTAAAAGAAAGAAGTGCTTGAGTACACAATTTTAACATACATAACATACAAGAGTGAAACAACACTTACTTGATACGCAAAGCCACGAAATGCCAAACACGCAAGTACATTTATAAGAATGTACTGTATTGCATGTAGAAACCAGATATTCGTAAAGTATACAACATAAGCGTCAAGTTCTAATCTAAACAGTATGTTAGGGAGAAGAGATATTAAGCCTGCTGCGATGAAACAGAACAGACTAAGAATTCCATCTTTGCACAGCATCTTTTGGATGAATTTTTTTCTTCACAAATATATACCAATCTTTTACAACAATAAACAGTTTGTCACTTCTCATCAAGCTGGCATATATGAAAGACTTTTAATATTTATCTTTAACAATTTGTGCTTCTTGTGTGTATTTTCTATAATAAAAGCATCTCAATTACATGTTTTATTAATATATCATTTTATTATTTTAAATAATAAGAATGGAAGAATTTCTTTAAAAAGTAATATAAGAAAGCACAATAAAGTGCCAATTTTTACAAATGGAGAGATGTACACTAGTAGATTCTACATACTACATCAAATCAGCTGATGATCTCATCAATGGATGTGAGATGGAGTAAGAATAAGAATATTGTGCTGCCACCAAGCAGCTAGCTGGAGATTAAAATTTAGTATAGTATAGTATTTCTCTCTGTTCATAGTATTACCATTAAGAGAACTGGCAGTCAGAACTTGTCAAAACGTAGAGCTTATCATTGATAAAACATTATTTTAGGCATATATATATTTCTGTATAACATATTGTGCACTCTGCGTGAGGTACTAAATATGCACAGTGAATTAAAAGTATAATAATTTTACAATACGTTGTACAAGAATACACAATACACAATAATATATAATACGTGAAATATTAATGAAATAACTACAAATAATGGAAAGCTTGAAATATATTTATCACTTGCCATTCCCTGAACGATCAGAATTTTGTAAAATTATGAATCAGAACGATAAGTGGGAAGAACTAGCTGGTAAGTCATCGGAAAGTCCCAGTATTCAGTTCCTATATTTATTTAATATTACTTGTTTTATTTGTTTTTGCATGTTAAATTGTATTATACTCTATCTCTTTCAATTGTTTATGTTATTTATATTCTCTTCTAAGTTGTTGCAAATATGATGTTACAACTATTTATGCTGCTTGCGAAGTATGTATATTCCATTACATTGGAATTCTTTTCACTCTATTATAATATTTACAGGTACTTGGATGAAGTACGATGTTCTAACAATACAAAGCTTGAGGAAGGAAAAGAATCCCACAGATGAACTTTTGACACTATGGGGTCATCATAATCATACAATAGCAGAATTATTTGTGTTACTGTCCAGAATGCAACACTATCAGTCAATGGTTCCCTTATTGCCTTTTGTCGATCAGAAATTTCATCAACTTTTGTACAATGGAGAGGCTAATTTGCAATACATATCACGCAAGCATCTCAACAAGCAGATCAACAAGAACACGAAAGATTTAAAGATTGGAACACAGAATTTTAATCAACGTGCATCGCCACAGCAGAGTGTTGATAAGATTTTAAATCAACCAGTTATGCAATTAGCTATTAGTCCAAGCAATTCTAATAATTTGCTAGTAGCCTCACCAGGAGCAGCTGCTGTTTTACTGCCTTCGCAAAATACTGACAGTACCGGCAAAAAGATTAATGAATCACCATTACCAAAAACAGAAACTACTTTGCCACATGCAAGTTATAGTGAACTAGCCATTGCTACAAATGGATGGAATCCACACAATATATTGGGAAAAGGTGGTTTTGGAACAGTATATAGAGGTACATATCTAATTGTAAGGCACACAAGGCATGTAGAAATTTAATTTTGAAAAAATTTATATCAAATAAGCGTTTGTATATAATTGTATAATTATTATATACAATTATTTGTATTTGTATGTTAAGGGTGTAATTTTTTTATATTTTAAAATTTCTTACTCTAATTGGCTTTGTATACAGCAGTAATAGATTATTTATGATAATTTGAATTTGTATATATTGTAGGCATTTGGAAAAACACCGACGTGGCAATAAAAAAGATTCGACAAAAAGGACCTGATTCGGACGAAAGTTATATTCTACAACTCCAACAATCATTGAAAGAAATAAAAATTTTGAATTCTCGTGCTCATGAAAATATTTTACCTTTATACGCATATAGTTTTGGTGGCGAGGCACCGTGCTTGGTTTATCAGTTAATGAAAAATGGATCTTTAGAGGACAGACTTCTATTAAGACAAAAAACCGAGCCATTAACGTGGATACAAAGACACGAGATTGCCAAAGGTATAGCACGTGGATTACAATACTT